GAGGCAGAACGGGGGATGCCAGCCACGTCACAGGTGTGAGCCCTAAGGAGAGAGAGGCTGGTTTATTTTCCTTAAGACACAGAAGCAGAAACATGATGCTCTGTGTGTGCATGTGTATGTAGGTTCCTCTCCCGTGGGAAAGTGTGAGCAAAGATCAGGAGGGTAGAGGAGGTTGCCCATCAAGTTATCTGGCACATGAAGCAGCAGCTGCTGCTGCTACTGCTGCTGCTGCTGCTGCTGCTGCTGCTGCTGCTGCTTCTTCTTCTTCTTCTTCTTCTTCTTCTTCTTCTTCTTCTAATGCTTATTTTTTAGAGAAAGAGAAAAGGAAAAGAGAGAGAGCATGTGCATGCGTGCAAGAGCCAAAGCTGGCTCTGAGCTAGCAGCAGACAGTTGGCACACGAAGCTTCTTTCCTAAAGGTGCATGTGAGTGTGTATGAGAGAGAGCCCGGGGCACTAATGCACGCTCCACATACGTGTTTGCCCCATGGTCCATGTATCTATGGCTGTGCCCATGGAGGAAAGAGATATACTAAAATCTCTTTGCTTTCTCTTTGTGTCTGCATTAAAAAAAAAAAAAAGTATTTATTCACTTATTTTGAGAAGGAGAGCGCATGAGCATGCACACAAGCAGGGGAGACACAGAGAGAAAGGGAGAGAATCCCAAAAGAGAATCTCATCAACCGCGAGATCATGACCTAAGCCAACATCAAGAGTTGGATGCAAAGCACGGAGCCACTCAAGGCGCCCTGGCATTGTTTGTTTGTTTGTTTGTTTACGTAATCTCTACACCCAACGTGGGGCTTGAACTCACAACCCCAAGGTCAAGAGTCACATGTGCTTCCAACTGCCAGCCAGGCACCCTTGTGTCTTTGCATTTTTAAAAATTATTTTTATGCCAGCTCTGTAACCCCATGCTTAGGTGTTTTATAGTTACCATTCAGGAAGAATTCAGAAGGAAGCACGACAGCGCTTTTTTCTCGGGGAACGGGATTGGGGTCTCAGGACTCACTTTTCAGCAGGTCCTCTCTTGCTCCATTTGATCTTTTTGTCCTATATTTGTGTTATTTTCATAGTAAAATGAGGGGGAAATCATTGTTATCACCAGTGAACAGTGGTGTGTTTGCCTGTCTCCCTGGAGTTTCTGCTTCCACCAGCCTACTGTAGGGCTGAACAGATGATGGAGTGCTGCAAATGTAACTTCTCATTTGCATCCACTCATTCATTAACAAATATTTGATAAATCGTTCCTATGTGCCAAGTACAGTTCCAGAACCCAGGGATATAGCAGTAAAGAAAACTGTAAAAGTTCCTGCCCTCCTGGGGACTTACATTCTACTGTACTGGTTCAGAAAGATGTACAAGGGCGCCTGGGTCGCTCAGTCATTAAGCATCCAATTCGATTTCGGCTCAGATCATGATGACACAGTTCGTGAGTTTGAGGAGAAAAGGGAAGGCAGGGAAGGGTGGTGGGGAGTTCTGGAAATAGGAGCCTGCCATGTTGAATAGGGGTGGTCAGGGAAGGTGACCCGTGAACAGGCTTGGAAGAGCTGAGGGAGCCCTCCTGGGAGCTACCTGGGAGAAGAGCTCCAGGGAACAGCAAATGCAAAGGCTCTGAGGCAAGGGCGTGGCCAGCATGCTTGGAGAACAGCCAGGAAAGCCAGCGTGGCTGCAGAAAAGCGAGCGAGAGTAGTAGGCGATGGGGTTAGAGAGGTAAGAACCACCAGAGGATGATGCACTTGCGTCCGAAATGGGTAAGGCCATGGCCAACAGGACTACGGGGGGGGGGGGGGGGGGGGGGGGGGGGGGGGCGGGGCAGGAGGGGAGCAAGCTGCAGTGACGAAGTTGGGGAGGCGGTGGGTTTTCCCACTTCCCCCCGTGCTGTCGTCAGCGTCTGGATGCTAATGCCGCGCTCCCAGCTCGCCGCCAGTCGCTGGAGGGGCCTCCCGCGAGCCAGGGAGGGCCGGCCGGGTTACGTGGCTGCGAGCGGGCGCCCCCTGGCGCGGAAAAGGGAGAGGCGGCGGCGGCGGCGGCGGGGATGGCGGCAGCGGAGGCCGGAGCGCGGGAACGCGGGGAGCCGGGCCAGCCGAGCCAGTCGGGGAGCCGGGCCCTGTACTTCTGCGGGAGCATCCGCGGCGGACGCGACGACTCGGCGCTGTACGGTCGGATCGTGTCGCGGCTGCGGCGCTTCGGGACTGTGCTCACGGAGCACGTGGCGGCTCCGGAGCTGAGCGCGCGCGGTGAGACGGGGCGGTGGGGCGCGGGGCGGCGGGGCGCGGGCGGCGGGGGAGCGGGCCGGTGCCGCCTCGCTACGGAGATTGCACTCCGCTCGGCGGCGGCCATCGGGCCACGGGCCGCGCGCCCCCACCTCCTGGAACCCGCCCTTCTGCCCAGCGGGAAAGGGAAGCCGAGGTTCGGACCGCGTGGGGTCCCAGTGAACTTGCGGATGGGAGCCCAGTCTCCGCATTCATTTGTTATCTTGACCTTGTTTCTTTCCTAGAGAGCTTTCTTCACCTCTTTCTAGAGACTGAGCAGAGAGGAGCAGAATGGGAGTGCATGGGGCTGTTTCATTTCCCAGCTTACCCGCTGGCATCTGCTCCCCTACCTAAGAGCAGCTTATCCCCCTGCTTTCCTCCTTTGCGGTCAAGGGACCCGCCCTTTCTTGGGCCCGACGGACCCGTTTCTGCCACCACCTTCTCTCTCACGCACTCTCATCAGGCTGTGACTTCCTGGCTGCTGGATCTTTCTAAAACATTGCTTTGATCAGGTTTGGTCTGGAATTTCGGCGAGTTTTCTGGTTTGAAAATCGCGTCAAAAGTCTTGCACTTTCTGCTCAGAAAAACCTTTGTTTTCCACTCTCCCGACCGAGGAGCGGATCCAGCCTTTGTGGGATCTAATGCAATTCTGGGAGACCTCTTTTAAAAAGGCGAAACCACACAAACTTGCTAGGGCGTTGGGAAGGGCTTGTGCAAGTGCGGGACCCTGAAGCTTAAGGTTCGTTGGTTTCGCCGCTTGTCGCGTCCACGCCCACCTACTGGTTCCGGAACTTCCGTGTGCTCAAATGAAGTCTGAAGGAACTTGTTTTAAGTGCAGAGTCACATAGCACAGCCTGGGATGAAGGCTTAGGATGCATTTTTAACAAGCTCTCCCATGATTCTGCTCTGATTCCGGAGGTAACATTTAAGGAAGCTGGAAATGAGGTCCTGGTCACATCAGAGCCCTCTCCTACTTTCCTTTCCACCACCTCCTACTGGCCATGGGTTGTGTTACAGCACTGGTGCTCAAAGTTTGGTGCGGTTCAGTCATCTGGAGAGCTCCTGAAGCAGCCTGACCTCCTATCGCGCTCTCAGAGGATTCTGGCACCCACCAAAGCTCGAGAGCCACCCAGGCTCCCTAGTTGTTCATCCTTTCTTTGCACAGGCAGTGTCCTGCTACTGCCCATTTCCACCCTGTGCCCGAGAAGGCTATGCCTCCTCTCCAGCTCCGATCCCTGTCCCACACTGAGGGATAGTCCTTCCCTTAATCTCACCTGTGTCACTCACTCATCTGGCCCTAATCACACATCCCTCCTTGCATGGGATTGAAGCTATTTTATGGCTATTCCATTCCTTTTCATGGAACCTTAGTGTTGGGTGGGTTCTTAGTCACCTAGCATGTGGCAGAGTGAATATGGGGGTGGCAAGGGCAGAGGAAAGGTACTGAGTCCTGAGGACCAGGCAGGCGCTTGGCCTTGACCAGCTTCTCGTCATCCACAGGGGAAGAGGCTGCTGGAGGTGACAGTCTCATCCACGACCGGGACCTGGCCTGGCTGCAGCAGGCAGATGGTGAGCAGTCCCCCTCCTACCCGCAAACTCCTCTGGGCTGTTAGATCCCCTGGACATGCCTGCCATCCATCCACACCTAGAAGGGACACTCCCCAGAGTTCCCTTCTCACCACACCCAGACTGTTGTCATTTCTCCCTTACAAGCCCCAGGTATCGAGGCTTAGTCTCTTCTTTCTTCCCAGTGGTGGTGGCAGAAGTGACCCAGCCGTCGTTGGGGGTAGGCTACGAGCTGGGCCGGGCCATGGCCCTCAATAAGCGAATCCTGTGCCTGTTCCGTCCACAGTCTGGCCGAGGTGAGCACTTCAAGCCTCAGATGGCCCCTCCTCTCACCCCAGCTTTCTGCGAACCCAGCCCTCAGGTCCTTCCCTGAGGGGCTCTGGGTACAGTGACTAGCCACAAAATGGGACAGGGAGGGGAGCGGAGAGGGGGGAGTATGGATGGGAGCCACCTTTACCTTCCTCCACCCTTCCCAGTGCTTTCAGCCATGATCCGGGGAGCGGCAGACGGCTCGAGGTTCCAGGTGTTAGACTATGAAGAGGGACAGGTGGAGGCCATACTGGATGGATACTTTGAGGCTGACCCTCCTCTAGCAGGCAGCTGTCAGCCCTGACCCAGCCGCTTGACTCAGCCCTGCGTTGTTACGTTCTTCTAATCCCAGACTCTGCCCTCATGCCCTTCCTGCCTCCTAGCCCCAGTTCCAAATTAAAAGGTATGTTTAAACTTCTAACTTTATGTCTGTGTGAGTGGTGGGGCGGGGTCAGTCCTCAGTAATACCTTTTTCCTGCTCCATTTCACTTCAAAATGTAGAGAACATTAAATTTTCTGTCAATCCCCAAGAGAGGGTACTAGCTAATGCCTTCAGGCTCCTGCCTGGAACACTGAAGAGTATGGGAAGGCTGGGCGGGGGGTGGGGGGGGGGGAGGCAGAGCAGATGGCTGTTTCTCTGTCTCTGATGCCAGGCTGGGTCTGGGGCAAGCGGGCAGGCCTTCACCCGGCCCTGGACCATGTGGACCTCCATCTCCCTTTGTCAGTTTAGGTCCAGTGGGTCTGCTTTGGACCTTCTCTGAGAACACAGGAGTCTGGAGGTCCAAAAAAAAAAAGTGAACGATGAGGAGGGGGGTGTGTAGAGGGAGCAGGGAGCTGACACTAGCCTTTGGGGATGCAGCTGTGTTAGCCTACTTCCAGAGAAGTATGTGAAAAAGTTTATTCAGTAAACAGAAGGTACTGCAGACACTGGGAATCGCTTCCCTCAACAATGGCGGGAAGGGGTGACTTCACCCCCTCGGCCCCCGTGACTGAGAGGTGGCTCCAGGTGTTCCTGCGTCCTGGCCCTCAGTCGTAGGCATCATCATCATCCTCGTCACCGAAGAAGAAAGTGTCTCGGTCCAGGTTCTCAGACTCCTCATCATAGGAGAAGCTATCATTGTCCAGCTCCTCATCAAACTCGTCCTGCTGCCACTCGGGCATATCATCCTCATCATCTTCCTCTTCCTCCTCCTCCTCATCCACCCCCAGCCCCGAGGAGCTCTGGGGCCTAGCGAGGGAGAGAGCCACACTCAGCCCCACACGAAGCCTGGCTTCCCCTGCTCCCCTGCCATGGCTCCGCCCACCCTACTCACTGACTGCCAGGCACGTTGGATCCTTTCGCCTCTCGAGTCTCTGATGACGGGCTCTGCAGACCCACCCGGAAGTCCTGGCAAGGAGACAGAGAGATGTGGCAAGTGGGAGAGTAGAGGACATTGGGCCTCTGCCCACCATTCCTTCAAGGAACATTCTCTGAGGGCCCACTCCCTCTACTCTAGGTGCCAGGCTCCGGGCAGGAATGCTCCCACCCCCTCTCCCTCCCTCACCCCAGGACTCCACAAACCAATGCCTTTGTGAAATGTAACTCAGGCAGTCTCCAGGGACACAGGCTGCGACGGTGACGGTGAGGCACACTGCCCCTATGCCTCAGGAGCTAGCAGTGCATGTTCGTGTCTTGTCTGCCCAAGTTACTTACCCGTCTGTAAGCTCCCTGCGGGCAGGACTCAGTTTAGATGCAACATCAGTGTATTAGAGCTGGGAAGAGCCTCAGAGACCCCTGAGTCAGTGGATCCCAATCCCCTGGCCCCCACTCCTGGGATACTGAGTCCACATCTGGGAAGTATGATAAAGCTCCCCAAGTGATTCTGATAAGCATCTGGGCAAATACCCTCGATGGGGGCTGACTCCTACAGCACTCGCCAGGCGGCTGAGCAGGCAGGGTCCAACCGCACCCAGCAGGCTGACCTAGGAGCTGGGCAGGCGCCCAAACATCCGTTTCACCCTCCCTGCCTTCCCTTTCGGATGCCCCCAGGGCAGGGGCTGCGCCGCCCACCTGGGTGGAATGCTGCAGGATAGCCAGCAGCCTCTCCTGGATCCTCCGCAGCAGCTCCAGGCCCGTGCTGAGGCAGTCCGCCCGCAGGAGGCGCAGGGACGAGGCCAGGTCTCGGCATCGCAGCAGCGTCTCCTCTGCAGAGGGGGCAGGGCACAGGGGCTCCCTCCCTTCTTTCGCTCCTTCCATTCCTTCCTTCAAACACCTACTGAACATCTACCAAGTTCTACCAACACCTACGAGGCACAGCCTAGACACCCATTCTCGGGGTGGGGGCTACACTCTAGTGGAGGGGACAGATGGTAATCAAGCCGGTTGCGTGAAGCCCTTAGGCACCTGGTAGCATGTACCGCCTCCCTTCATACCTGAATTTTAAAAGGCCATAGATGTGCATCTGTAGGGCTGTGAAGAAGTAGGTGGAGGAAGAGGACAGAGCGCAGTGGGGAGCTGGGAGGGGGGTGCGGTTTCACCCACTGTTTGCCTGGACGGGCCGCTCAGAGCGGGGAGGTGGGCGGGAGATGGCAGTGAGCAAGCAGGGGGCCAGGCCTCACCCAGGAGGATCTGCAGCGCGTTGGTGTGCAGCTCCAGGTTCTCGGTCTGCTGCTCCACCACGTCCATGTGCTCTGTGTCCTGGCTGTAGAAGCTGTACACGCACGCGTAGGCCAGCACCTGCGGGAGCCCGGGTCAGCCCTTTCCTTGCTCCCTGCCGCCTCCCTCCCTCCGTCCAGGCAGGCTAGAGGAAAGCAGCCCGGCCCCCAGCCCCCCCGCAGCCCACACCACCACCACCTTGCGAGCCTGCTCCAGACCCCGGCAGGCGTCACTGAGGAAGGTGAAAGATTTGGGCGGGGGCACCTCGTGGATGGCAGACACGCGGTTCCGCAGGCTCACGGCGAACTCCTGTGCAGGGGAAGGCGGGTCGGCGCTGCTGCGGGCAGCCTTCCCCCAGCCAGTTGGGACGGCGCCCACCCGACTCGGATCTCTGGCCCCTGCCTGGCCGTCCACCCCAGCCCTCTGACCGTCTCACCGACACAGCCGTTTCCTCCCTGCTCACCCGGGCCTGGTGATGGAAAGTACACCTCTCGTTATAGTCCTGGAACCGCTTCTCCTGGCGAGCTGCTTTGCTGACCTGGTAAGGGCAGGTGGAGAGGGCTCTGGGGTGCTCTGCTGGGCAGGATGGGGTTAACACGCTAGGTACTAGCACAGAACCCCCAGCACCTGTAGGCTCGGGTGGCTTCTGTCTTCCGAGGAGCCTCTCCCGACAGCCGCTCAGCTGCTGGGGACGGCCAGGGCCCCGCAGCGGCACCCCATCCTGACGGCCCTCGGGCCTCCCCCCGGCCCCGGCCCTACCATGGCAGAGCAGTTGTAGTAGTCTTTGTGATTTGGCTTCCACGACTTGAGGCAGCGCCAGCAAAATCCATGGTTGCATTTGGCACAGGTCATGCTATGGAGGAAGCTGGCTGGTCAAAGGGCCGCTGGCTGGGGCCGCCCCAGGGACACTAAGGGCCTGGATGCCCCACAGGACAGGCCCCTGCCCCCCCCCCCCCCATGCGCTCAGTCTCCTTAACCTGACCAATCCCTAGCGAACACACCCTTGCTTCTGGCAGACTTCAAAGCTGGGGAGGGGTGCCTGGGGGCTCAGTCCATTGGGCTTCTGACTTGGGCCCAGGTCATGATCTCTTGGTTTGTGAGTTCCAATCCCTCAGCATCAGTTCTCTGCTGTCAGTGCAGAGCCCGCTTTGGAGCCTCTGTTCCCCTCTGCCCTCCCCTCCTTGCGCGTGCACACTCTCTCAAAAATGAATAAACATTAAAGAAAATTAAAAAAACAAAAGCAGGGGAAGGAGCATTAAGATGCAGGAGTCACTGGGGGTGCCTGGGGGGCTCAGTCGGATAAGCGCCCAACTCTTGATTTCAGCTCAGGTCATGATCTCATGGTTCATGCATCTGGCTCTGCACTGACCAGACCCCCGCTCCCAGCTTGGGATTCTCTCTTTCTCTCGCTCTTTGCCCCTTTCCTGTGTGCGCTGTCTCAAAATAAATTAAAAAAAAAAAAAAAAAAAAAAAAAAAAGATGCTGGAGTCACTGGAGGGGACCTCCTTTGCTCAGCTCTCAGGTCAGCCCCATGGCCCCTCCCTGCCACCAGGCTCCCACCTCCTCCCATGCCCTCTGACCCCGCCAATGCCCACAGTACCCCCTCTTACTGCAGACACCCCTCGTTCTTCTCAATGGGAGCCTGGCAGCTGGGACAGCGCTTGGAGATGAGCTTGGCCAGGTGCTTGCTCTGAGCCTCCACGCTCATGCCATCATAGTAGCCGCCATCGTCGACCCACTGGGACATGTGGCCACAGCTGGCAGGATAGTGTGCCTAGGGCAGGAGGGGAGGACACGGCTGAGCTCTGACCAAGGGTGGCACTGCGAGAGGGTGAGGGAGGGAGGGCACAAGTAGAGGACTACAGGAGGAGGGACAGAGCTCAACCAGGTAGCGGAGTGTGAGGACGAGGCACAGACCCTGTGTGTGTGTGTGTGCGTGTGTGTGGCAGAGAGGGGTGCTGGCAGGGGAGAGCTATAGGCCTTGCTCAGGGGCAGGGCTGGGCAGGCACCCACCTCGGGGAAGCTACAGTTGAAGCAGGAGGCCCAGCCACACTTAGAGCAGGTGGTCCCACAGCCCAGGCCCTGGCGGCACAGGATGCGGTCACAGCCCTGGGGGTTGGTGCACCACGTCAGGTTGGAGCAGCTCTCCACATAGCCACGCAGGAGGGCCTTCTCGTACTGTGGGGACACAGGTGCCACTAGGTAAGGGCATGGCTCTCTAGGATGCCACACCTCCAGACCCCCCCCCCAAACACACACCCTGCATGTGGGCCCACTCCTGGGGCCTGCACCTCTGGCTGCACACTGCAGCCTCTGTGGAGGAGGGACTACCTTGGAGATGATGTCCGGGGAGGAGACGATGGCCCGAATGAAGGCTCCGGTGGGCTGTGCAGGGCAGTCGGCAATGGGGCAGGTGCAGTTCAGTACAAGGTTCTGCTCAATCCGAGTTGTCAGATACTCATTCCAGCAAGACTGGAGGGAAAGGGAGAGGCTGCTTAGGGACAGTAGGGGACCAGCACAGGAGGACAGTGTCCTGGCCTGATAATGAACCTAGTACCCCCTCCTGACTATGGAAGGCCAGAGACAAGCCTGCTTCTGGAGCAACCTCAAGGCTGACCCTAATCTTTCTGGCTTCTATGCGTTTTCCTGGGATTGGCCCAGATCACAGTTGCCTTTGAGGACATGCAGGCCAGGGTAGTGGCCTCATTTTCATTATTGTTGGGATGGACACATGGAGGGAATGGATAAGAGAATCAAGACAAAGGAGATGATTCAAGTTCTGAGAAAGATCTGGAGAGAGCAAGAAGGCCAGAGAAGGAGGAGGCCTGGGATGGTAGAGGGCCTAGTCCCCCCTGGGTGGCCGCCCTTGGACACTGCAAATGCTGCTGTAGCCTCTCCTCCCAACTCCATCTGCTCCCCTAGCTCCTCAGTGCTCCCATCTCCATCTCCCCAGACTCGGCCTTTCCTCCACAAAACAGCCTCACCCACTGCACCACCCCCAGTCCTGGTCACCGGTGTCGGAACCCTCACATCCCTTGGATTCTCTGCTAGCTCCCACGTCACTGCGCCACCCTAAACCAGGCCCTTATCCCCTCACCCCTAAACTACTGCAGGGGCCTGTCCCCATAGATGGTCTTATCCAGATCCCTCCCCCATGCAATCCACTTGGTTTATGCGTGATCAGCAGCCTGAGCATCCTAAAGTATTCCCATTAATGACTCCCTTCCGTCACACAGCCGACTGCAGGGCTTTCGGAGATGATGCATCCAGCCCCCGGGAGTGTGTGTGCATCCGTGTATCGGGGGTACCAAAGCTCTAGCATAAACGGAAAGCACCTTACTGGACTAGTTTTACTCAAAGAAAGATTACTAAATAAAACCAAACCCTTGTTATAGTGAAACAAACCCAGATAAGTTAGGAAGTTGAATGCAGATTTCCTGCATTTTTTGAGAGAAAGCAGAAAAATGCTCCAAATTCAGGCTGCACATTTGCAGGTACACGTGCGCAACAAGGCCCCTAATGGCGACATGCAACAAAGGCTGGCAGCTGGGTTTGGAGCCCATCCCACTCCCCTACAGAGCCCCTCTGCTGTCAGTTTGCTCTAGCTTCTGTTGTCCCCCCTGCCCAGCCCACCAGGAATGCAGTCTCCGTCCAGCCTGCACTCCCCTCCCATGCCTCCCAACCCCACCTGTCACTCAAGGCTCACACAACAGCTCCAAACCCAGGCCTTCCCTTCTCTGAGTTCTCTTGCATTTCACTGGGCCACTCAGCTGTGACTTATACATACAGAGGTTCCTCCTTGGCTGGGACATCTCCAATTGTCCTGATTTTCTGTCTCCCTGTCGCTCCAGCTGTACGGCGGGATCTGTACAGCTCAGCACTCTGGGCCTGCTTCTCTCTCCCTCTGCCGGATGCCGGCCAGCCTCTCTACTTAATTCAAAATTCCCCTGTCCACGGGCGCCTGGGTGGCTTAGTCGGTTAAGTGTCTGACTTTCGCTTAGGTCACGATCTCGCGGTTCGCGGGTTCGGGCCCCGCGTCGGGCTCTGTGCTGACTGCCAGCTCAGAGCCTGGAGCCTGTTTCAGTCTGTGACTCCCTCTCTCTCTGACCCTCCCCTGCTCACGCTGTCTCTCTCTCTCTCTCTCCTAGAAATAAAGCATTAAAAAAAAAAAAATTCCCCTGTCCAATCCCACACAGGTGTCCAACAAGAAGCCCAAACTTCACATGATCAGAATAGACTGAATTTCTCCTCAAAAGCCTGCCCTCCACACCCAGCCCCCGCATCTTGCTCAATTCAGTAGATCTCATGACACATCTCATCCACCCAGATGCTCAGGTCAAAAACTCAGGAAGCACCCTTGATTCCTCTACCCTAAGCCCCCACATCGGCTCCACCAAGCCCTGTCAGTTCTGCCTCCTGATGTGCCCCAGTCCGTCCCCTTCTCTCTTCACTGCTAACGCTGGGCCAGACACCCACCACTTCCTGCCTCTTTGTACAACAGTGTCCCAATGGGTGTCCTTGCTTCTACACTTGATCTGCCCCAGTCTTTCTTTGACATGCAGTGATCTTTGCAAAAATGTAAATCAGATTCCATTACTCCCCTGCTTAACCCCACTGTGGCTTTCCATAAAGTCAAGCACACTGTCTGCCAATCCCAACCCAACTGGGCCCATCTCCCTCCCAAATCTTTCCTTCCATGGTCCCACCACGTCACTGTGCTTTAGCCACCAGGCTCAGCTTCTTTGCAATTGTTGTCCCCTCTGTCTGCTACATTCTTCCCTTAGACAGTCACCTCTTCAAGGATGGCCTTCCCTGGCCTCCCCAATCTAAAGTCCCTGACAGGTACTCTCCCCCAGACTCCTCACCTCAGTCACTTCCCATGACGTGACTGTATGATTGTATTTCCTTCCCCTCACTTGTCATAAGAGCATGAGGGAGGGCCCTGAAGCAAGACTACCAAAGTCCAAATCCTGACCTTGGGCAGGTGACCTCTCCTCCAGGCCCCTCCGTCTGTCGCCAGCAAAATGGGTACAGTAAAAATACCTACCTCATGCAACTCTCATGGGAATTAAGCAAGAAAATGCATATATAGCAGCAGAACGGCCCAGAATGCGTCCCCCACAAATATTAGCTGCTGATATTATTAGCTCTTGGGTCATTTCTTGCTTGGATTTCTCCACCTCCTCATACAGCACCCGGTGCTGTGCACACAGTGAGTTCGTGACAAGTATTAGTTGAATGAAAAAGTGAAAGTGAGAAGGAAATCATTAAGAACCAGGGAAAAGGGAGCACAGGCAACCATGTGAGAAGAGTAACTTGAAGCGGAGCAAAAGGGAAGGAGAAAAAGTGCACGTACACATACATGCCAGTGCACGTCCCAGATCACCCACCACCAGGGAGACGCTGTTGGGAGAGGCAGCTAGATTCCTGGCAACAAGCGCGCTCATCCTGCTAAGTTGATGTGTTTGGGCTTGGCGTCAGTTCTAAGAGCTGTGAGGCAGGGAACATGGGACACTCAGTGCTCTGGTCCCCTGCGCCTCGGCCCCTCTCCCCCGCCACTGCAGACAAGTCGCTGCCCCATCCACAGCCTGCTGGGCTCAGCTATACAATAGCAAGGCCTAGCTTCCCATAATTCCCTTGATTTCTGTGCTACTCTCTGGTTTACATCATTTCTTTTCATTTTCCTGTTAAATGAGAATATATGCTAAGTAATGATGTTCTGAGGTAAAGGGACTTGAATGATGATAAAGGAAACATAAACTTATAGTCATCACCAATGTAATAACACTTCTCATTTATGAAGTGCCTGGATGTATATTTTACATATACGTGTGTGCTACCAACCAACCTACCTACCTACCCACCTATCTATCTATCTATCTATCTATCTATCTATCTATCTATTTATTGTCCTCAAACCTGGCTGAACACTGGAGTCCCCTGAGTTTTTAAAACTCCATGCCTGGGTTTCACCTCCTGAGATTCCGATTTAACAGTGTGAGCATGAGGATTTGTTAAAAGCGCCCAGTGATTACAATATGCCACTGGCATACTTTAGCGTATTATCAGCATATTCACCTATTAAAATTTTGACACCAGCAAAGTTTTAGAGCCACTGATAGATCTCAGTGAATCCCAACAACCACGACTCTTCAGAGTGTTATGGCTGGCAGGGTAGTGCCACTTTCAGATGACAAAACCAGTTTCAGAGGAACGAAGGGCCCTGTCCGACCCTGCCCAGGTTAGGAAATGGCAGTGCTGGGCTCGAAGCCCAGTGTTCACGAGGAATTGGGTCAGGCTGGAGAGCCAGGGGCAGGGGAAGGGCAGGCAGGGCCTCACCTTACAGCAGTAGTGCATGCAGCAGAGACAGGGCAAGTCATCGTCGGGCTCCAGGGGGCTGACACACACAGGGCAATGGTCGGGGCGTGCGGGGGCTGCCTGCGCCTGGGGCACACACAGCCCAGCCGCCAGCATCAGTGGCTCAGGGTTATCACTGTAGCTCTGCAGCAGCTGCTCGGCACCCCAGTGGCAATGAGCCAAAAGGTGCTGAGCCACATCTGGCTCTAGGTTTAGTGTCTCTTGCACCTGCCGCACAGTCTGCTCCATCAAGCCTTCTACTTCCTGGGGGCTCATGGTGCGGCCAGCAGGCAGCTGCAGGGATGCCAGGGCAGCCACAGCTTCTGGGCTTGAGGAAAGAGGAGATTCAGCGATCAATATCCCTGCTCTGCTCATCTACTAAATGAACCCCACCACGGCCCCCAGCCCCCCACTTGTGCACGCCTGCTTGCACCTGCCTAACCAGCCTAAGGGTAGCCGCCCAAGCCAACTGTCAGAGCTGCTTTCCACAGAAGCAAGTGCCGAGCAGGGCTGGCTGTCATGTTGATTTCTAACACTCCAGGAATCTGGTGGGCAGGCACCAGGATGCTAACTGACCCACAGTGGATGGGATAATCCCACCATAAGCCCCACCTAAAACACCAGCAACAGGTCTGGTGAGAAACTGGAGTCTGCAGCCTTACCACTCAAAGTATGCTCGGCGGCACTAGTGACTGGCAGGGGAGCTCTACTGAGTCAGGACCTGCATTTTACTCAGATGCCCAGGTGACGTGCATGCAAGTGAGAAAGATTCCTTGAAAGAACTCACTTCACACACAGTGCAGGCAGCAGGCATAAAAGTTGTGCCATAACGACTTCCAGTGAGCTGGAGGTGACGTGACAAGGTTTAGGGGTGTCCACTAATTAGGGGTATCCTATGGCAAATTCCTCTGTAGAACAGGCTTCTTGAAAACTAGACTTTGTAGGTTACATTGAGCAGAGTGCGTCATGAGCACTCAATGCACAGTTGTATATCGTATTTTTGCTCAGTATGACAGGAGCTTATGTGTCTGGGTCCCTTGCCCAAGGGCTGACTCTAGGAGAATGGGGACAGCAGGGCCCCTGATTAGGAAGGCAAAGAAGGGGGTGACAGTGCTGGCAGGCAGAATGAGGACTTGCAAAGCAGGAGAAATGACAGAGGCAGGGAAAAAGGGTTATACAAAGACAGAAATGAAGTGCTTTTCCACAAAAGAGCCTGGCATTGGCACTAAAACTCCTGTGTCACTGCAGTGCCATCGGTCCCTGGGAGCTGAGACCTCCCTGCTGGCTTGGAGCCCTTGCAGGAGGGGGAATGGGGCTGGGGACAGCTACCTAGGCTTGGAGGTCTTGGTGGTCCGGCTGCTGCAGAAGGGGACCTCTGCCTGACCCCGGCAAGGCCCCGTAGGCTCTGGGGTGGCGCACAGCAGGACCTGGGGCCGGTCATCACGCCGTTCCACGTAGCCCTGGCCCACGAGGTGCAGAATGCAAGAAAGGACGTCTGTACTGGTACACGCCACGCCCCCTACAACAGAGCGGCCCAGGCTCGCAGGGGGATTTGGCCCCTTCTGCCAGGCCTCCAGCACCTGGATGGGAAGAGAGGGAACAGGCAGGCCACGTTTACCCAGGGACGCCACCTGCCTGGGTTCAGTGCTCTGCGCTTTCACTTACTAGCTGTGTGACTATGGATACGTTACTAACTCTCATGCCCCATCTCTCTTACCCGTCAAACGAGAATAAGAGTAAAGAATAATAGTAACACCGCCACCATCACCACCCCCATTAAACTGCTGTGCAGATTAAATGACCTAATCGTGCAAACTCTTAGAATAGGGCCTAGAGCATGGCAGACTCTTGGGTCTTGTTTCTACCTGCTGTCTACCAAACTGCCCTGTCAGGAACAGAAAGCCCGGATGGAAATGTCACCCTACAAGGTCTCATACTGACCGAGTTTGCCTTCCCTTGTGATGATCCCTGGCTCCAAGCCCCAACCCTGCATGTGACTCCCTCCCTCCCCTAACTTCACAGTCCCCCCACCTACCAGACAAACCAGCTGATCAATATGGAGGCCCTTTTCCCCATGGGCTTTGAGAATACGGACAATAAGACAGCTCAAGAGGTTCCTCTTCTGTTCCAGAGTTCGGCCCTCATCCTTCTCTACATTCAGGTATGTCTGGGGAGGTATCAGCCACAGGGCTTCCCCACAGCGCTGGGGCTCAGGCGCCCGAAGCCGCAGCACACCTGGAACTCATTCCCAGTCAGCACCCGAGGAGGGGAAGGGAGAGGTGAGGGGGGGCAGCCCCATTCTCAGTCCCTACCACACGACCGCCATGAAAGCCCCACCCTACGGGAGCAGAGGCACAGGCCAACCTCCAGTGACCTACCCCTGTGTGGAAAGTCCTGACCCTCATTCAGGGTCAAAGGGCCATTCTCAGCGGTGAGGGGCAGAAGAGCCTGGAGCAGTAGCTCTGGGGTGAGGTCAGAATTCTTCAGCAAGGTCTCTACAGACACCTCCTGGGGAGGAGAAACAGAGCCAGTCAGGAGTAGAGAACCAGGGGTGGGGGAAGGATGGAAGAAGGAACAGAGTTAAGGAGGAGAAGAGTGACAGACAGGAGAAGAGAAGACAGAGAGAGGCTAAGGAGCTGAGGCACCTCCGTCTGATTGAAATGCAACAGCAGCCACATCTGCACAGTGGACACGTGCAGGGTCTGGTCCCCAAACCGCAGCTCAGCCCGGCCCAGCCATGTCCACTGCAGTCGCCGATGCGGTCCCATGTCCAGGACTGGATGATTCTGACCTGGGAAAGTGCCGAGAAGAGGAGAGATAAAGAGCAGGGGAAACAAGGGGGTTAGAGGCTGAGGCAAGGGTGTACCATGAGTCAAGCTTTGTACTTGCCAATCTGTGTGGGGAAGAGGGCCCCACAGAAGTGACTTGCCAAGCTTCCAGAGCTCCGCCTCCCCTGGGTCTGCCCCCACCCTCCTGCAAGCTACACGTATCTGGTACCCTGTGCCTCGCCCTACGCCAGGCAGGCTCCATAGAAGAAACACCAGAAAGAAGAGACCTGAGGTTTGTCCTCAAGTTGCTGACAGTTTTAAAGACCCACTAGGCTGCATCCCTTCCTCCTCCTGTGTCACAGCTCAGGCAAGACGAGCCTGGACATTCGTTGGTACTAGAAAGCAAGGATGCTGCCAAAGGCAGAGAATATCAAAAGGAACCAGTCCATAAGGTGCTCTCTGGCCAAAGACGGGACAATTAGAACATCAAAAAAATAATACCTGTGCTTCACAGAGACACGTGAGATATCTTAAAACCCACGAGTTCATAATGACATCTTTTTTTTTTTTTTTTTTTAAAGACCTCATTGTTTATCTTTGGAGGATACTAGAGAACATTATTTTGAAAACCGGTTAAAAATAAGGAGAGAGGAGGAGAGAATCAAGCCTTTCCTGTATAAACTGGACTTCAGGGTAACCAAAAAGTCACTGAGAGGAAGTTTCTCTTTATAGAGAAAACATTCCAGCTCAGCTAAGAAGAAGGAATGGCAAGACTAGAATGGCGCTAGCTTGTAACCCTTAATGAAGTGACAGAGCTGGGCAGTGGGAATGAATGACTGCCTAGTGGAAAGCTGACAGGAGACTATGTAGAAAGTACAGACCACACTTGCAACACTCAAATCACGGATCTGTGTTCACATCACACAGACAGGCAGATGGAACACACCTCCTGGTAGAAGCACACAATACCACCTACCAAGAGTTCTAGCCCAAGAAATCAGACCCAAGTCAGAATAAACTTCTACATCTAAGTAACTGTTTTCAGGAAATGAAAGAGATAGAGGAACATGCTAGAGGACACCATGCGGATATGGTCAGCGAAATATGGCTTGGAGACAACTCTATGTGGGAAATAATGCAGTTCCCTCCACAATTACAAGGGGGCAAAAAAGGAAAGCAGAACTGGTAGATTAATGGAGACGGAAGATAGAACTCAATCAAATGCAAGGGTCAAAGGGCCATTCTCAATAAATGGGCTTTCTTTGGGTTCTCAGTAAAGAAAAAACTAATTTTGAAAACTTGAGAAAATGGGAGGAATATGAACACTTCACTGTTTGATATTAAGGATTGTTATTAATTTCTCAATGTTTGATCATTGTAGTGCCTTTGCTTTTAAAGGATTTTTTTAATGTTTATTTTTAATTTTTTTTTATTTTTGAGAGAGAGAGAGAGAGAGAGAGAGAGAGAGACAGTGTGAGCAGGGGAGGGTCAGAGAGAGAGGGAGATACAGAATCTGAAGACAGGCTCCAGGCTCTAAGCTAGCTGTCAACACAGAGCCCGATGCGAGGCTCAAACCCACAAACCATGAGATCATGACCTGAGCCGAAGTCGGACACTGAACCGACTGAGCCACCTAGGCACCCCTGCCTTTGCTTTTAAAAAGAGAGTCTCTGGGATGCCTGGGTGGCTCAGTTGATGGAGCATCTCTGACTCTTTAATTTTGGCTCAGGTCGTGATCTTACTGCTCGGCTTGTAGGTTTGAGCCCCATGTTGGGCTCTGTGTTGCCAGAGCCAGCTTAGGATTTCTTTTGGTCTCTCTCTGCCCCTCCCCCACTTGTTCTCTCTCTCTGAATAAACTTTGAAAAAATATTTAATTGGTAACTTTAAAAAAGGAGAGAATCCTTATCTTTTAAATTTGAGAGCTGGGGAAAGTGAGTGGGAGTACAGAAAAAATGGGATTGGCCAGGAATTGACCCATGTTGGTACATTGGAGTCTGTTCTGCCCACTTCTGTGTATGTCTGAAATTTATTATAACGGGGCGCCTGGGTGGCTCAGTCTGGTTAAGTGTCCGACTTCGGCTCAGGTCATGATCTCATGGTTTGTGGGTTCAAACCCCGCATCAGGATCTGTGCTGACAGCTCAGCTCAGAGCCTGGAGCCTGCTTCAAATTCTGTATCTCCCTCACTCTCTGACCCTCCCCTGCTCAGACTGTCTCTCTCTCTCTCACAAATAAATAAAAAACATTAAAAAAATTTTTTTTAAAGTTTATTATAATAAAAAAATTTTTTCATTAGGGTGAAGGTAAACCATTCTCAAATAGAAACTGATAAGAGGGGCGCCCGGGTGGCGTAGTTGGTTAAGCGTCCGACTTTCGCTCGGGTCATGATCTCGCGGTTCGTGGGTTCGAGCCCCGCGTCGGGCTCTGTGCTGACTGCCAGCTCAGAGCCTGGAGCCTGTTTCAGTCTGTGACTCCCTCTCTCTCTGACCCTCCCCTGCTCACGCTGTCTCTCTCTCTCTCTCCTAGAAATAAATAAAACATTTAAAAAAAAAAAAAAAAAAAAGAAACTGATAAGAGTTTTCTATTAATACTCCCTCAATGAAGAGACTTCTAAAGGATGTAGTTTAGGGAGGAGACTGAACTCAGAAGGATCAAGCCGCAAAAGGATGAGTGATGGAAACAACCAGTATGATAACAAATCTAAACACCAACTGAATAATGATAATAATAATAATGACTTTTGGGAAGTAAAAAAAGATAATTCTAAGATATCAAACAATAGTAACGAGTAGAATGGGAGTGAGAGCTGGAGTTAGATTTTCTCTGGTCCTCTTATTGCGCAGGCACAAGTCAAACATACAGGTTAAAAACATAAGGGTAATTGGGGCACCTGGGTGGATCAGTCGGATAAGTGTTTGACTTTGGCTCAGGCCATGATCTCATGGTTCGTGGGTTCGAGCCTCGCATCGGGCTCTATGCTGACAGCTAGCTCAGAGCTGGAGCCTGTTTCAGATTCTGTGTCTCCCTCCCTCTCTGACCCTCCCCTGCTCATGCTGTCTCTTTCTCTCTCTCAGAAATAAATAAAACATTTAAAAAAATTTTTTTTAATTTTTAAGAAAAACATAAGGGTAAATCAACTATAGAAATAGAATGTGGGACTTCCAAAACTGGTAGACACAAGAAAGGAATTTAAAAAATAATACAAAAGAAGAGGGGAAAAATGCACAAAAGCCCAGGGTAGAAACACATCTGCAAAGGTGTTCAATTTACTATTCACCTTTTAACTGTATATATGTCTATTCTTTTCTATATATGAAATACCTAAAATTTCAAATTATAAGAAGAGTAAAATGAAATGTAAGAGGTTAGCAATAAAAGCCAAATATATCATTACTCATAATCACTATAAAGTTAGAGGCTAATAAAATTGACAACTCAAAAGGAGAGATTGTTAGGTTAAATAAAAAACAAATTCTAGGTATTTGTAAGACACATGCCTAAAATAAGAGCATGGCAAAGTTAAAAGTGAATGATACTGGGGAAAATTCTGATAAGAGCAGAATACAAACATGGTTTGTATCTCCCCAACAGACTGCTTATTACTAGTCACAAGGGAAAAAATACTAACTATGCAGTGAGAAATCAAACAACCTCTTGACCAGATTGTCAAAATTCACATCACAAAAAAGAAGCAAATGGAAACAAGTATGCTTCCAAATGAAACATGTGGAGAAGAACATACTATCACTTACTTAGGATTCTGGCCTGGAATGCATAACCTGAATCTAATTATGAGGAAATATACAAACTTAAAATGAAAGTTTAGAAAATTTTAATTTTATTTTAAAAATATTTATTTATTTATTTTGAGAAAGAGAGAGAGAGACAGAGTGTGTGAGCAGGGGTGGAAGAGAGAGAATCCCAAGTAGGCTCCACGCTATCAGTGCAGAGCCTGACATAGGGCTCCATCTCACAAACCGTGAGATCATGACCTGAGCCAAAATCAAAAGATTGACATTTAAACAACTCAGCCACCCAGATGCCCCTAGAAAATTTTAAATGACCATATTCTCCAAAGGCGTCAATGTCATGAAAGGCTAAGGAATTGTTCCAAATTAAGGAGACTAGAGATACCACAACGAAACATAATAGACGATCCTAGACTGGATGTTGTCTTGGACTAGAAAATAAAAGACATTATAGAGTCGACTGACAAAATTGGAATGTGGAAAGTAGATTAAAGTATTACACCAATGTTAAATTTTTGAAACTGATAAATGAATGATTATTATATAAGAGAACACTATGATTCTTAGGAAATATATATCAAAGTATTTAGAGGCAAAGGGCCAGCATATATGCAATTTACTCACAGTGGTTTGGGGGAAAAAAAGGGTGTGTGTGTGTGTGTGTGTGTGTGTGTGTGTACATACAAATACACATCTTACAAATGTATATATACACAAAGAGCAAATGATAAAAGCAAATGGGGGAAAATGTTAACAAAAGGTGAACTTGGATAAAGAGTATATGAGTGTTCTTTGTATTATTTTCTGTAAATTTGAAGTTATTTCCAATTTAAAAATTTTAAGTAAGAGGATAACTGAATTGTCCACCTAAAATGATTAAAATGGAGCGGGCACCTGGCTGGCTTAGTCGGTGGAACACATGACTCTTGATCTTAGGGTTGGGAGTTTGAGTCCTACGTTGGGTGTAGGGATTACTTAAAACATAAAATCTTGGGGCGCCTGGGTGGCTCAGTCAGTTAAGCGTCTGAATTTGGCTTAGGTCATGATCCCATGGTTTGTGGGTTCAGGCCCCACATCGGGCTCTGTGCTTACAGCTCAGAGCCTGAAGCCTGCTTCTGATTCTGTGTCTCCCTCTGCCCCTCTCCTGCTTGCGCATTGTCTCTCAAAAATAAATAAAAAACACTAAAAACTTTTAAAAAATAATAAACAAAATCTTTAAAAATCGTTAAAATGGCAAATTTAATACTATTCATATTTCACCACAGTAAAAGAAACCTAAAAGAATTATCAATCCCTCTTTAAAAAGTAAAAGGATAGAAAGAGATATTCTGGAAAACCACTAACCAAAGAAAACTAGTATATTATTAATACCAGATAAAAATAACCTTTGAGAGAAAAAGCTTTACTAGAAAGAAAGGAGGTCATTTCATAATAATAAAGTTGAGGGGCACCTGGGTGGCTCAGGTGGTTAAGCATCCAACTTTTGATTTTGGCTCAGGTCATGATCTCATGGTTCATGGGACTGAGTCCCGCATCGGGCTCCCCGCTGATAGCAAGGAATCTGCTAGGGATGTCTCTCTCCCTCTCTCTCTGCCCTTCCCCTGCTCTCTCTCTCTCTCTCTCTCTCTCTCAAAATAAGTAAGTAAGCTTTAAAAAAAAGCTTAATTAACTATGAAGATTCTAAACCTGCATAGTCCATTATGGTAGCCACATGTGGCTATTTAAGCTGGCTAAGGTAAATAAAATTAAACATTCAATTCTTTAGTTGTACTAGTTACATTTCAATGGCCACAAATGGCCATCATACCAAACAGTGCAGAAAAGAACTTTTCCATCAATGCAGAAACTTCTACTGGATGGCACCGTCAAATAATTTAAAACTTTTATCTAATAGCATAGTAAAAAAATATATAAAGTGGGGTGCCTGGGTGGCTCAGTTGGTTAAGCATCTGACTCTTGACCTCAGCTCAGGTCTTGATCTCAGGGTCATGAGTTCATGCCCCATGTGGGGCTCCATGCTGGCGTGAAGCCAACTTAAAAATAGATAGATAGATAGATAGATAGATAGATAGATAGATAGATAGATAGATAGCAAAACTGACCTGATGAGAAGTTTAAAAATTCACTATCATGATAGATCTTAATATACCTCTCTCAGTAATAGATCAAGCAGACAAAAATGAGTAAGGTTTGTAAGTAAGATTTGAACAATGTAATTAAAAAAGTCAACTTAATGGAATAAGAATAAGCCTATAGCCAGCAGCTGAAGAATACACATTCTTCTTAATTACACATGGACTATTTAGAAAATGTGATCATCTACTAGGCCATAAAGGAAGTCTCAACAGATTGCAAAGACTCTGAATCAAGAAATCAGGTTCTTCAGCCACAATGGAATGAGGGTCAAAGTCTAAAACAAAAAGACAACTAAGCAAAGAAAAACTGGTTTGAGAATTTGAAAATATGCTTTTAAAAAGAATAGATGGGGCGCCTGGGTGGCTCAGTCGGTTAAGCATCCGACTTCGGCTCAGGTCATGATCTCGTGGTTCATGGGTTCGAGCCTCGCGTCAGGCTCTGTGCTGACAGCTCAGAGCCTGGAGCTTGTTTCAGATACTGTGTCTCCTCTCTCTGAACCTCCCCTGCTCACGCTGTCTCTCCCCCCACCCCTCTCAGAAATAAATAAAACATTAAAAAAATTTTTTTTAATTAAAAAAAAAACAAATAGACTGAAGTAGAAATAATAATGGAAATTAGAAAATTCTTAGAACTAAAACATACTAAATACTAACATACTACATAATAAAAACTCAGGCAACATCCTAAATGTCCATCAACAGCAGAAAGGGTAAATATATTCATACAATGGAAATGAACCAGTAACACAAAGAAAAAAGTAAATGATAACAACTGAAAGCCTGGATAGCTCTCACAGATACAAGGCTGACTGAAAGAAACTGGACACAGCAGAATACATACCCTATTATTCCACTTATATGATGTTCAAATACAGACAAACATCTATGGTGATAGGAGGCAGAAGGTTTCACTTGGAGGAGGATACTAACTACAAAGGGAAATACATGAAGAAGTTTTCCCAGGTGCAGGAAATGCTCTGGGGGGTGGTCATGGGAGCGTATAGGTATATACAATTCATCAGTCATAGTTAAGATTTGTGTACTGTACTAAAAACTGAGTATACCGCAATAAAAACAAATCTAAAAAAATCCAGAAACCAAAACACTTACAGAATGCGGCTAAAGCAATATTGAGAGGGAAATGAATAGCCTTAAGTGTTTTCACTTGGAAATAAGCCTGAAAAGACTAAAAATTGAGTAAGCATGCAACTTGAAGTTAGAAAAACAGAACAAATTCATACAAAAGTGAGAGCAACGATGAGAGAATGAGAGATACTACTAAAGATCTAACCCGCTTTTTCACCTTTCTCTAGGCCCACCTGTCCCTAGAGACCATTTTTCTTCATATCTACAAATTTCTGTCCGCAGCTCTCTCCTCCTCCTCTCTTGCCACCCCAAATCTCACCCCAATCTCCAATTGCCTGTCCCTATCTCCTCACTCTGGCTGTAGAAATTGGAGAAGCGGTCAAGGGCATCACAGAATTCAGTGGGAAGGCACTTTCTGGGATGGTACAGGTAGCAGAGTGGGGAGACCGGCCAGCAGCGTGGTGACAGGACCAGTATGGAAACTGTTGGACTTGAATCTTCAATAAATAGTTCTTTCTCAGCCTCCTCTTCCTCTGCTTCCTCCTGAGAGACAGAAGGATTTCAAGGGCTCTTGGGTTCCCTTCTTTGGTCTAGCCTTTTGCTCTCCTAATTCTCCCTCTCATTTCCCTTGCTCCTACCTCTTCTTCTTCCAGGCCCTGCTCCTCCTCATTCTCCTGCTCCAAGAGCAGCTTGTCGAGCCGCCGGAGCTGGAAGAGGTGGAATTGGCGCTGCAGCTCCTCGGACGTGCTCAGGCTCCGCAGCATCTGCTGGGGGAGGCGGTTGGGGAAGCAGAGGCCTATCTGCTCCAGCACAGCCCCCTCCAGCCAGCTCGAGCCCAAGCTCAGGAGACGGTCTGCCATGTAGTGCCTGCAGGGGTCATACACGGGCCAGGCCGAGCCTCAGTGTGGGCCCTCCACCCTGCCTCCCCTTTTTCTCCCCGCTCCCTTTCCACCAGTGTCACGGCCATCCCTCTCTCTATTTTAGTCCCTCCTCCAGCATCTTCTCTCCAAGCCTCAAATCTTCACCCTCTCTAGACTCTAGGTCTCCCCTCCCCTACCTCTCCGACCTGCACTCACTGGTAGAAGTGCTCAAAAGTGGTAGCCAGCTCCAGGCCAGAAAGGACCATGATGGGTTCCAGGTGCCGCTGAAGCCGCCCCAGCATTTCCACTCCAGGGGCTCCACCAACCAGGCCACCCTGGATCTGCTGGTCGATGTGCCTGGCAAACTGCTCACTTATCTGGGGGCAATGGAAAGGGCACGGGCCAACCGTGAAGACGGAGTGGAGTAGGAGAATGGGCAGTGTGAGGAGGTGAGAGGCAGAGAAAGAGGCCAGCTCGCAGCGGTGCCCGGGAGGCCAGAGGTACTCACGTGAGCAGCGGTGAGGAAGGACTGCTGTAGCAACGCGCCGGAGAAGCCACTGCGCAGAGCCAGCGTGAAGGCCGCCCGAGGCCCAAAGAGCTCCGAACCTGCTCTCTGCAAGTGCTCATAGAGTTTACAGTATCGAGGCACAAAGTCAGGGCCCCTCCAGGCTGCAGCCAGGAACCTGCTGACCTGAGAAGAGACGAGAAACACCATAAAAGGTGCGGTCCCATATGCAATAGCTGAGCAGCCCCGCCCCGCCTCCCCCTGCAGCTCCCTTCCACTCACCTGCTCCTGCACCACGCTCAGCCAGCACTGGGTTATGTTCTTCAGACTGCTGCTTGGAAGAACTGGTGAAGGCGTGGGGCTCCGATCCCGGCCCTTACTGTTCTTGCTGACTGTGGAGACAGAGGGCAGAGGAGGGGGTTCCTTCTCGGACTCTGAGTGAATCTAGGGGATCTGGGGTACTGACCCCTGGAAAGGCGCACACAGAGCAGTCAGGAAGAGTAGGATCCAAGGAGGGGGAAGGAGCCAGGTATCACCACCGGCCAGATTCTCAGCTCAACAGGCCATGGCTGGGACTTACGAGGCCGAGTGGATGGCTCCGGAGAAGGCCCAGGCGGAGGCTCTACGTGCACCAGCAAGTGACAAAGGCGACGAACTCGAGAGGCAAAGGATGCTGCTCGACTCAGGGGGTTCTGAGAGCTCTCCCTTTGCTCTAAGTACTGGTCCAGCAGCCAGCCCAGGGAGCTCACACCTTCCGCATCTAAAAGAAGACAGGTCAGAAACAGGCGATGGGAAATAGGAGAGGAAAGAAGATGGGAAGGAGGGGAGAAAAGGTCCAGTTATACAAAAGGCCTTGGGGGGAGGGCAGCCAGGTCGAGCCCTCCCCTCACCAAGGCTTACTTCAGTGAGAGTCTAGGGGTATGCTAACAGGTTGGGGGTGGGGTGGAGGAGAAGATTCAAATACCCAGAAGTCCCTGGGGCAGGAAGGAGAGGAGCACTGAGGTGACAGGCCTTCAGGGAGAAAGACAGGGACTAAGATAACCAAGAGCATTAACTCAGGTGATCCCTGGGAACAGTTACGAGGAACTGGTTAGTGGGGCCAGGGGTCGGCATGGTTACCGGGGGAGGTGATGTTCTGCACCAGGGGGCTGACCAGGGCCTCCCAGCAGGTCTTGCCCAGGGCTTGGGCGGCCTCATCGTCAGGGAGGAAGCGATCAGCAAAATTCTGCTCGTGGCGCAAAACCCTGTTCAGTCTGGGAACAAGGCGTGTGTGGTCAGGTATTTATGGCACGGCTCTCGGAGGCCTCCACTCAAGTGCAGTCAGCTCCCAGTCTCACCATGCTCGGTCCCCTAACCAGCTCAAGGCCATCAGCAAGTGCTTCCCACCTGTGCTCACCCTCCCCTCCTGTCCCGGCTGCTGCCTTACCTTTCAGACTTCTGCGGGAGTCTCCTACCACCTACTTCTTAGCAGTCTCCTCCTGCTCCCTGCTCGTCTCCCCGCTCCCCTCAGCCCCGGCCACTGCCTGACCCACCCACCTGGGACAGAGCTGGAGGAGGCGCCTGCGGTCCTCCGCTATGTCCTGGCTCCAGGCTTGCGCCCGGATGGTGTAGAAGAGACGGGTACGGCGACACAGCTGCTCCCGGAATAGCGGCCAGAAAGTGGGCTTAGGGCCCAGCACCTCCACGCCTCGAACCCGGGTGTCGATGCCACCCTGTAACATGCACACACCTATCTGTCACCTAAGCCACCCAGCCACCAAGCGTTACCAAAAAAAGCCAGGCCTCATGCCCTGAGTTCCCTCTGAGGTACCTGAGACATTCTTGCATCTCTGGAACTCAACAGGCTTCTGGGCCATCCCCAAGCAGGTGCGTGGCCTGAGCCTGGCCCCCCAGTGCTGGGGAACACACTACCCCATGCATACTATCCCGTGACTCCCAGCCCAGCTTCGTCCCTCACCCTACCTGCTGGCAGCGCTTTATGCGGATCTGAATGATGGGCCAGAAGCGGTTCAGGTTCTCCAGGAGGATCACCCTGCTGGCAGAGGGCATCACGTTCACCTGATGGGGCAGGGAGGAGAGAGAACTGTCACCTCTGGAAGTGGGGTCCAAAGGACTGCTGACAGCAGCCAAGTCTGGTGATGGCGCGTGGCCTTTACTTCTGCCCTGAGCCCGCAAACCCGCATGAATCTGCTTTCCGAACTCTGCTCTCACTGCTTATGAGGCAATGCCTGCCTGGGGGAAGGAATATGGAGTAAGGTCAAGGTGGGGGAGGGCTCCAGGGTCCCCACCGTGTTGAGCTCTGTGCTGATGCAGCTGGTACTGTCACCCCCAAACACCACCACTCTGGCTGGCATGTAACTTGAGTCCTCACTGGCCACGAGCAACGTCAGCTGCCTGGGAGAAAACAATCAGTTAGAACAGGGGCCCTGGTCACCCTCCTACACTGTTGGTGGGAATGTAAACTGGTGCAGCCCCTCTGTAAACAGTGCGGAGGTTCCTCAAAAAATTAACACTAGAACTCCCCTATGACCCAGCAATAGCACTGCTAGGAATTTACCCAAGGGATACAGGGATGCTGATGCATAGGGGCACATGGACCCCAATGTTCATAGCAGCACTCTCGACAATAGCCAAAACATGGAAAGAGCCTAAGTGTCCATCAACGGACGAATGGATCAAGAAGATGTGGTTTATCTGTATGATGGAATACTACATGGCAATGAGAAAGAACGAAATCTGGACACTTGTAGCAACATGGATAGAACTCGAGGGTGTTATGCTGAGCGAAATAAGTCAGGCAGAGAAGGACAAATAACATATGTTTGCATGTATAGGAGGATTAGGAGGAACTTAACAGAGGACCATGGGGGAGAAGAAGGGGAATATAGTGGGGGAGAGGGAGGGAGGCAAACCATGAGAGATTCTTGAATGCAGAGAACAAACTGAGGGCTGATGGGGGTGGGGGGAGGGGGGAGATGGGCATGGAGGAGGGCACTTGTGGGGATGAGCACTGGGTGTTATATGGAAACCAACTTGACAATAAACTATTTAAAAAAAAAGAACAGGGGCCCTGGTCTTTGTTCAAAATGACTCCAACCTACCACTTCCTCCTCAGACTCCTGTCCCTCTGCTGCCTCAAACATCAATGTTCCCCAGACCCTCTGCTCTCCTCTTATCTTTCCCCAAAAGGACTTTTTCCTTCAAAATGACTTTATTTAAAACCACAGTTTCAGGCAAAAACCGAATACCCTAATTACTCCAAATACACATGTCTACACTAGACCGCTCCTCTCAGCTTTCATACCATGTACCCAACACACATTGTCTCCATGTCCCAACACACATGGTCTCCATGTCACACCCCATAGGCACCTCTAAGTCAACATGCCCAAATGGAACCATGACCCGTCCACAGAAGCCTGCTCCTCTTCCATCAGCCCTCTTGGGAAAGAAAACCGCCATCTACCAGAGCACTCTGTCACCATGACTCCTCCCTGTCATGGCTTCCCTCATGTCAATGGCATGTCCTAGAGACTCGGCCCCTTGAGATCTCCCAGTCGGCCGCCCCTCACTATTCCCACTCCCTGTGCCTAACTGAAGACATTCATTTCTCAACTAGACCACTGCATAAACCTTCTAGTTCTTTCCTGGCCTCCAACCCAAACTCCCATGATTGCCAAGAGTGACTCTTCTAAAAAAAAAACAAAAAAAAAACAACTTGTTTTGTTTCTTCTCTTCTTAAAATCCTTCAGGATAAAGCTCAAACTTCTTAGCTCACAAAACTCTCTCTGGTCTGGCTCTGCCTAGTTTTATGGCTGTCTCCTACTAGTCACGACACACACCCTTCATTCCAGCCAAACACAGTTACTTAAGCTTCCCCCCAAAACACCGTTGCGTTTCTTACTAACATTTTGCACAAATGCTGTCCCTCTGCCCAGACTCCCCACTTCCCTCTCTTTATACAGCTGATTTCTACTTTGAAGCTCTGATCATTTACCCCACCTTCTAGAAGCCTTCTCCCACCTCTCACTTGGCCTCAGGGTCCAGGGCACATGTTGGTTTTTCTTACTCTTACTGATTCTCCAGCCCAGCTCCCCAAGAAGACCGCAAGTTCCCTGAAGACGGGTACCACATCTTGCTGTCCTAATAACCCCAGACCCCGGCCCAGTGCCTGGCCCAGAGTATACATTAAACAAGCACCCACGGGAAGAGTGAATAAGGAAGTTGTCAATCTCCCTCAACACTATGCACAGGGCAGTCACATCTGTACCTATAGGCGGAACACGTCACCAGGCTCAGGGAGTGAGGAGGTCTACACTGCACAAGGAATGCAGATCAGTGTTGTCTATCTGGTCACTGCACAAACGGGTTTGAGTGTGTCCCTCACACACAGGGGTTACAGACAGGATTGTGTGTAGGTGGATGCTTTGAGAATGTATGCTGGGGTGTATCAGAATATTCTCGCATGCGTGTGTGTGTACCCATTGGTGCACGTGGGCATGTTCACACCTAACAAGAACACCACGGTGCATGTGCAAGGTGATGTAGTGGGAGCCGGTGCTGCCATTGGACTCCCAGTAGGTCTTGGGGTTCCGGTCCGTCAGCTTGCTGGCCCGGTGCGGGTTGGAGGACACCTCCACCTTCTCCCAGCACTTGTCCTCCTTCACTTCCACGCTGGAGCCTGGGGGCAAGTGGGAAGTTAGTTGAGAGAGAAAAAAGTAAAGGGACAGAGAGAACAAATACTGGGGTGGAAGGCGGAGAAAGGCTGGGGCACAGACCCTGGCAGAGATGCCGGAGGAACACGTCGAAGAAAGGGATGTTGATGGGTCGGTGGGTTCGCCTGTGGTCTTCGATCTGGCCCAGCACCATCTGCAGCCGGAACATCAGAGAGAAGGGGCGTGGGGAGGAGGGAAGAACAAGAACACACAGAAACAGGTATGGAGAACAAGTCAACGAGCAACAAAACGCTCGAACTCTTTCTTTACAAATTTTGGCAGAACGGGTAAAAGCTGGGAAACAAGCGCCCCGGATTTACTACCATTTGCGCCGAGCAGGGTTACCAAACAGGGACACAGGCCAAATCCCCTTCCCCTGCTTGTCACTTGTGTCCTCCCTCAGCTCTGCACCCATGAGCCTCCTCACCTGAATGCAGCCAGCTAGGATGCTGGAGGTGAGGTTACTATAGAGCTGGGCGTGTTTTTCACACTCGGTCACCAGGTCCCGAAGCTCACAGGCCAGCAGCAACTGAGCCGAGTGCTTGTCCAGGACTTTGGAGAGGGCCTCTTTGGCTCCCAGGCAGCAGAGAACCACCGCGTAGTCCTTGTGCATGGAGGCCAGGCGATGCAGGAAGCAGAGCAGCTCCTGAACAATCTGGCCCGGAGCCACGGAGATTAACGTGTGGGAAACAAAGGGCAGGCCACACAAGGGATGGGCGGTGGGTGTCGAAAAGGGCATGTGGTGGCTGAGACTCTAGAGAAGCCTGCAAGCCCAGGGAAAGGAGAGTGCCGCAAAAGGTTGGGACAGAACAGTGGGGGCGCAGGGACTCCAGAGGTGCTGGGAGCAGTCTGGGCACAGCTTCCGATGCTCCTTCCTGCCAAGGCGAAGCTCTTTCAAGAGCCCACCTCAGTGCCTGAGCCTTGGTTCGCAACCCACAGACCCGGGAGGGTGAAGAGCAAGGAATGCTTGGATTGGTGAATGTGGGCTTCTCCTAAACCCAGAATCTAAAATCTAGCTTTATTCTTCAAAGGCCCCAGTTCTAAGATTCTTAGAGGACATTCCTTCCTACCCACCCCCTCAGTGTTCAGGCTCCTCCAGAAAGGTTGTGCTTTGCCCTCCATGGCCTCACAAAGGTAGCGGGTGCCCCAGAGGCTGCCTTTCCCTCCCCTGCCTTTATCGGGGCTCTGGTACCTCAGAGTCACTGCTAGGGCCACTCAGACAGTTGAGGCAGGGCTCCAAGACCTCGTGCCAGGGGAGGACCATCGCTTCAGGGTGATCCAGCAGCCTGGTCATGACCCTGGTGATGGGATGAAACAAGCAAAGTCCCTGTAGTCCGCCACCTCCCCTCACCTCCAATGCAAGGGCGCCCCAACAGGCCCCTTACCTCAGTGCCGTCAGCAGCAGAGTTTTGTTGGGCCCCGGGGCATCCAGAGTCCGCAGCAACAGGAGGAAGGGCTGAGTCTCCTGCTGGAGGCGCTTGAGGAGGGGCTTCACAGCGCCCCCTGGGCCGCCCTCTCGGCACAGCACCCGCTCCAAGCCCAGGAGGAGTTCTGCAGACGGGCCCCCTGCCAGCGACCGGATCAGATGCTCAGGGGACCCATCCTGGCCCTGGGCGCCAGGGGTTTCCAGTGCTGCTGTCAGACACGTGGGAGGAAAAACATGACTATGAGGAGGGGTCATGCGAGTTGCTCAAACCATGAACTGACAGGTCCAGAAAATCACCCCCAAATTTTCCTCTTATTTGTACCAAACTGTGGGGGATTTTCTTCTCTGGCCCCAAATATATAACTAGCTGCATCTGGAAAAAAGTTTAGTTTGGCAAACACTGTCCTGTTAAACACACAGATTTTTAATCTCATATAGTCATACAATTACCTTTCATCATTAAATGGTAGCTTTGTGGTTACATAAGCCAATAAACATGAGCTATTATAATTACATCCCTCTACTACCTAGCATAGTGGCTTTAAAGATTTTTTAAAATTTTTTAACGCTTTTATTTATTTTAAGAGAGAGAGACAGAGAGAGAGGAAAAGAGAGAGCACGCACAAATGGGAGGGGCAGAGAGAGGAGAGAATCCCAAGCAGGCTCTGTACTGTGAGCACAGAGCCTCATATGGGGCTTCAGTTCACGAACCATGAGATCATGACCTGAGTTGAAATCAAGAGTTGGATGCCTAACCGACTAAGCCACCCAGGTGCCCCTAAAGATTTTAAAAAATTTTTTTAATGTTTCTTCATTTTTGAGAGACAGAGAGAGACAGACCACAGCGGGGGAGGAGCAGAGAGAGAGAGGGAGACACAGAATCCAAAGCAGGCTCCAGGCTCTGAGCTGTCAGCGCAGAGCCTGACACGGGGCTCCAACCCACGAACCGTGACATGATGATCTGAGCTGAAGTCCGACGTCTAACTGACTCAGCCACCCAGGTGCCCCAAGATTTTATTTTTAAGTAATTTCTACACCCAACGTAGAGCTGGAACTTACAACCCAGGGATTAAGAGTCATATGCTCTACTGGCTGAGCCAGCCAGGGGCCGCACATGGTGGCTTTACTCTAGGTAACTCTATTCTAGAGTATCCTTCTCCTCTTGGTCAGGAAGTTTTACTTAAGACCTAACTTGAGTGCCAAAACCCTTACTCATTTCCTGAAGGTTCATCATATAGTACATAAGCCCTAGCCCTCCTGGCACAGGCCGGCATTGCCCGACTCCTCAGCAGAACCACCCCGTCCACAACCGCAATGGTACCTGGGTGCTCAGGACTGTCCGGCGGCTCTGAGTAGCGATTGAGAAGCATCATGAGGATGTTGCGTGTGGTGGGCATGGGTTCTGTCCCTGGTGCTATCCCGGAGTGCCTGAACAAGGTGTCTCTCAGCTCTTGGGTGATAAGCTGGTCCCCCAGCGTGTGGTGGTTGCACAGAAGCAGGTTGAGCAGGAGCAGGCCGTTTCTCACTGCGGAGGAACACCTGGGAGGAGGGAGGTAACCCCGGGAAGAAATTGAAAGAGTGAACACAACGGAAGCAGGAAGCAAGCACAGAGGGGAAGAGGCCTATGGCTGGGGAGGAGACGGCTCCAAGGGCGCCTGTGAGGCCAGGGCATCTGGCTCCCTGGCCTCAGGCCACTCCTCCCAACCCCAGGAAGGAAGGCCAGGGTGCTCCTACCCTCTCTGAGGATCTCCCTACCCCCTACCACTTGGCCTCTCTACCAATAACAGGCAGAGAGGGCCACCAACGTTTCCTCCAGAGGTAACATGAAGGGAATTTCTGTGAAGCACATGAGATGTAGGCAGAGGAGCAGCAGGGCTTGGGGCTTAGTGGGAATTTGGAGGGGGGTGCCCTGACCCCTCTGTGTTCAGCATCAGGATCACAGCTGCAGGGACAGTAAGGAGGAGGCTCTCAGAGCCTGGGCGAGTGGCTGAGTCAATGCTGGCGAAGATCTCTCTGGTCATCTGGGCATCAAACAAAGGATGGACAGAATCTCGGCCAGTGACAAAAGTGGGGATCTCCGAGGAGCTGGCAATGGCCAGCATCTTCAGTGCCTGCAAGGGGGACACGGAAGAAGAATTAGTGATGGGCAGAGCCGCCACTCAGAGAAAGAGGAGAGCCAGGCCCTCATTCGCAACCCCAAACTTTGGGCAGCTGAGCTGTTGGCAAAGAGGTTGAGTAGGAGATGGAAATGGAAGAGGTGGTGATGGGATATCAAATGATTAAAACACAAAGAAAGACAAGAAAAGAAAGCAAAGAAAATAATGAGGCTCAATGATAAAAGCAGCCAGCAACTTCTCTCTGCCAGCGCCAAGGCTCACTGCCCCCTCCCGTAGCTTCTTCTCAGGATGGGGCCCTTTCCTAGCATCTAGTTGTCTTCGAAGGCTTTACCTTGACATCGTCTTCCATCTCACTGGACCACCCCTCCCTTTGTAAAGCCCCCCTTCTCTTGAGTGCCAGAACTTCATATATGCCTGTTGTCCTGCCTCCCTGGAATCCCTCTGCCAAATCCTTAAACACGGAAGTTCCTGCCTCCTTCTCACTCTGCACTCCCTCCCCCAGCAACTCCATCTGCTCCCATCGCTTCGATCACCACTCCCCAGCCCAGCACTCCCAAAACTATGTCCCTTGGCCTCCAAAGCCAGTAGCCAGCCCTCCTCGACAAGACTACTTGGGTTGTCTCACAGGAAGAGTGGTTGGAATTCTAGGGAAGAATATTTGGAATATATGAATGTTCCCGCTGGTACTATAAAGAAAATGAAATTAAGATGAACGCTATACCTATCGTTCCCAGTGAAAGGGTGAACGCTTGAGAAGAAACCCTCCAGGGATGGAGAGGATTAGAACTAATTCTTAGGCCATCCTCCCTTATAAGGCCTGAATCCTGCACGCTCCCATTATGCTACGTTGTAATGAGGCTTTCTCTCTTTGGTCACCCCACCTTCCCCCATTAGCTGAATTCTACAAACCTGAAGTTATAAATAAGATCATGCTAAAGGGCAAGAGTTTGAATTTAGGGGCAAATGCTGTATTTTGGTCATGCTACCTCCAAGCGTTGGGGAATTCTCTGAGCAAACACAGTCTAGATGATGAATGCCTGGCTGCTCTTCAGGGTGGCACCTAGCTGGCCCCATGCAGGAAAGAGCCTCCCAACCTCGCCCTGGGACAGCCTGCCTTCAGGGGACCTGTTCCCCTCAGGGACTCCAGGCTATACAGAGCCCACCCTGTCCACACCTCGTACTAGCCAGCACTTGTGTCTGGAGTAGTCAGGAAACCAGTTCTTCTATAAGCTCCCCGGGATGAAGGCCCTCCCCTTCCTCTGGGTCCAGGTGGCAAGGCACCCACATCTGGTGAGGGGGTAGTTTCTGTGTCAGGGTACCACTCAGATCAAAGGGTAAAAAATTATTTTGTTACAAGCAGAAAATTAGTCACTAACCAGATACCTAACTGATACCTAAAAAGACATGGGAAACTGAACAAGCCTAAAAACTCAATTCCTGACTTTCTTTGCATACCTCTTCCTCCTCCCCCCCCCCCCCCCCACTTCGTGAATGACCTCCTCATCCCCTCTGCTGCTCCATTTTAAACCCAGGGGTCGTTCTTAAAAACATCCTTCTCCCTTTCTTCCAACACACATTCAATTGCAAAGACTGTCCCACTAGAACTGTCAACCCACCTGCATCTTTCCATCCTGAGGTCCCCTCCCTGGTCTAAATCACCCCTGTACCTCTTCAAGATCAGCAGTCCCCCCGCCTGCCCCTCTTGCCCATCACTCTCTCCCCCCAGGCCCAGTCCACTCACCGCCAGCCCCGCCTGCTGCACCAGGACGGAAGTCTTATATTCTTGCATGCAAACCAGCACAGCGTAGATGCCACCCTCCCTGGCAAAGAGGGGCCGCCACTCATGCTTGGTCATGAGCAGGTAGAGGAGGCGCAGGGCCAGCACCACCACCATCTTCTCTCCCACCTGGTTGGTCAGCAGCTCCACCAGCGTCTTTACTAGCTTCTCTCTTAGACAGAAGAGACATTGGAGTTCCCCATCCCAAAAGTCACGCCTGCCTCCCTGCCCAACCCTCTCCACCAAGATCCATCACCCGCACCATCATCCAATCTGCTCTTGCCTTAGTTCCACTCTTCATCCCCTCTCCTCTGCAGGCTAACTGCCTCTGGCTCCTCACCTCATGAAGGAGGCGGCAGAGGAAAATGGTTATAAACTCTGGCTCACCTTCTCTTTTTGTTGTTGTTGTTGTTGAGAGAGAAATAGAGAGGAAACACATGTGCATACACGAGTGCATCAAACACAAGCAGGAGATGGACAGGGGAGAGGAAGAGAGAATCCTAAGTGGGCTCCATGTCCAGTATGGAGCCCCAAGGAGGGCTCAGTCTCATAACCGTGAGAGCATGGCTGGAACCAGAATCAAGAGTTGGATGCTTAACAGACTGAGCCACCCAGGCGGCCTTGGTTTACCTTTTCAAATAAATCTATGAATTCAATGTAATTCTAATCACAATGCCTGAAAGGTTTTTTACTACATACATGACAGGTAGGTTCGGGCATAGGATGAGAAAATAGGATGAGAATAGTCAAGAAACGTTTAGAAAGAAATAATGGTAGATTTGTCGGCTAGTTATCAAAAGATAAACTTATAAAAATTAAAACTCTGGAAATGATGCAAGACAGATACAGATCGCTAGATAAGGGTGGCATCCTAGCCAGTGAGAACAGCAAGGACCAGATGACACGTGAGGTGGAGACACCTGAAACAACTACGGCTGGGGTTCTGCCTCACTCTGTCAGAATAAATGAACTGCAAACAGATTTTAGAGTAAATGTAAAAAAACAAAACCATAGCTACCTTAAGAAAATACAGAAAAATATTTTTTATAATCCTGAAATAGACCCACTCAAAACCTAGAAGCCATTAAAAAGTTTAAAAGTATTCTAGGGGCGCCTGGGTGGCTCAGTCAATTAAAAGTCTGACTTTACCACAGGTCATGATCTCGCAGTTTGTGAGTTCAAGCCCTGCATCAGGGTCTGTGCTGACAGCTCAGAGCCGGGGCCCTGCTTTGGATTCTGTGTCTCCCTCCCTCTCTGCCCCTCCCCCACTTGTGCTCTGTCTCTGTCTCTCAGAAAAATAAACATTTAAAAAATTAAACAATTAAAATATCCTAACACAGGGGCACCTGACTGGCTTAGTCAGTAGAATAGGTGACTCCTGATCACAGGGTCATGAGTTTGAGCCCCGCGTTGGACGCAGAGCCTACTTAAAGATTAATTAATTCTCACATAAAACTCTAAAACTTTCAGCACAGTGAAAGACACTGTCCACAGGGTTAAGAGATAAGCAATGTGAGCTAGAGAGAGAGTCCTGTGGAAATGCTAATTTGAAGGAAAGGAAGAAGTGCTCCAGAGTTCCTAAATCACACTGTCACAAGAAGGAAAAAAAAAAACAACTGGGTTTATTTTTCCCCACAGGGACAGAGATGCATATTGTGGAGGTGGAATGGGAAAGTTCTGTCTTTATTTGTCTTTTCTCATGAGCTTTATGATGACTATAACATGATCAAATATGCTTTAAATATAAATCTCCTTGTGTAGCCAGGGCTTATTGTAAACAAGCTAATACAACATGGGTAAGATATATGAACGGATATAGGAATATAAGTAAGTATGTTTACCAAAATGTTAACAGTGACTCTCTCTGCAAAGGGATTTTTTTATCTTCATAATCTTCTAATTTTTTTTATAGTGGGCATATACTATTTTATATTCAGAAGACAGTTAACATGATTTTGAAAAATAACAAGCAAAATATGTAAAACATAAATAACCAATTAATACCCAGAGTGCCTACAAATCAGTCAGAAAAAAATTAAGACCCAGTGAGAAAATGGGCCAAGGATAAGAACAGATTATTTACAGAAGAAACACAGTGAATGTGGGCAAAATGCTTCATTTCACTAGAATTAAGAAATGAAAACAAAGACCCCAATCGCTTAAAATTCTGCCAATCTGATATATTTAAAAAATGACAGTATCTAGTGTTGGCGGATGTGAGGAAAAAGAACCCATCAGAACACTGAACTTGGATATAACCACATGGAGAATCCTGCCCATTAGAGAAAATAATGAGGCAGCTCTATGTGGACTGTCATGTAGAGCCTTCTTAGACACACTGTGCAGGAGTGTGCAGGGAAAGTCATAGAAACGTGTAGTATGATGACATATATTTACACACAAACTCAGAAGATGTTCTCTTTCCAAACACACTAACAAATGTAAATCTATGGAAGATCTGAAGAATCCACAGCAGACTGGCAACAGTGGTGAAAGGGGACTTAGTCTTTTCCTTCTATGTTCTGTTACATCTTTCAGGTCTTTTACAATGAGAATGTACTTGTGTATTATTTGTATAATTAAGAAGTGGTTTTAAAAATACCTTTGAAAATAAAGAAAAGAAAAGAACTCAATCTCTAGGGCCAACAGGACCTACGTTTGAATCCTGGCTGTGCTACCTATCAAACTCTGTGCAAACTCTTAAATGCTCCTCACCCATACAGTGCCGTAAGCATAGTATCAGCTCTTTCTCAGGAAGAGAGAGAAGGGTTTAATGAGTGTAAGACTTTAAGCATAGAGCCTGGCACAGAGTAAGTGCTCCAAGAATCTATCGATATTCCATTATAATATCGCATCTTTCTGCCCAGCTACTCCCTCAGGCTGACCCTCCTTTCAGCCCCAGCCTTTCAAATTCCTGATATAGCTCCTCCTCTCTCTCCCACCATCCTCCCCCAAAGGCAGCTTAAACCAAAATCCCTCCCCTCCCCACCATTCTAACCTCAGAGATCGGTCAGGACGGACCAGAGGGTGGTCCCGCTCAGTGACCTCCTCCACAGCCTGAGAGAGGGCATAGAGGCCTGAGAGCTGCAGGTTTGTGTCCAAGCTGGATATCTGCACGGTGGCCGCGACCGCTGCCACATGCTGATCCAGGGAGCTGCGGGGACCAGGACCCCGCAAGCCTCTAGCCATTTCTGAAATTGGTGAGGGAAAGGTAGCAGCTTAAAAAAAATTGAGGATGCTCCAAGTTGGAAGTGTTGAAAGGTCAAACCCAGTTATCCTACTGACATTATTCATTACTGTAGCTTGCATCCTGAACTTTTCCAATTCTGCACGAGGGATTTAATGGCCAAAAGTAGAAGACGAAACATCCCGGAAAACAGACCCTCCTTCTCCAGGGATACTGAAGATGGGGAGCAGCGATTGGTTACATACACTCAAGGTCAAAGGAAGGAAGATGGAGGCATGCTTTCAAAGCATTTTCCCATGCAACGGCAATCTTCCTCCACAGCTTTCCTCTACCCTAACTACTTCTGTGGGGACTGCCCAGGACTTGTTCCAACTTCCTCGCCCTCCCTTCCCAGCACCTGACTCACCACTGGCTGCCTCCTTCATCTCGGGGGGCAGAACCATCCCCTCAGTCACCAGAAGTTGGTTAAACAGCTGTGAATCACTCTGTGCCATGGGGGGCTCAGGTTTTCCCTTGGCAGGGTCTGCATCGGCCTTTGGGGGCTCAGCTGTTGCTTTGGGAGACTCAGCCTCTTCTTCTGAGAAGTTGGCCTCCAACTTGGACTCCTCTTCTGGATCTGGAGAACACGAGTGACTTCGTGAAGACGATGAGATGCTCAGTTCATCGGGCAGCAGCGCATACTTGGTGTAGATTTGGGAGTTGAGCAGGTCACTGAGGGTACTGCCCTCAAACCGATTACTGAGTACCAGCAGCAGACCCTCAGCCATCTCTACGGGCACGGAGATTTCTCCCAAGGCCTTTTCGCCCAGAGTCTGTCAACAGAAGGAGGTATGCATTTTAGGGAAAAGCAGGTGCAAAGGTCCTGGGGACAGTAATAGAGACGGTGGCCGCCTCCCACCATGACTTGCACCTTCTAACTGATAGGGTTAGAAGTTTTACATACCAGACCTCACAGGATTTGTCTCCTTCCCCAGCAGGCCCCCTCCTACTCTCTCATCTCTAGCTCCAGCCTCCCCCTCTAAACACTCCCTTATCTAGAACTCCCTTAGAGAATCCCACCTCCAAAGCCACTACAAACCCAAATATCTCAGGCCTAAGATACCTCATCCAGGTTCTCCCGAAGATTCTGGAAAATCGGCTGCTGCTCACATACGTCCAGCTTCTTGATGAAGAAGAGCAGCTCCCACCACTCGGCCTGAGTCAGGTATCCCAACCGCTCGTTCTTCTGAGGCTCGGGCTGGAGGTACGGCAAAGCGTAGAGCCCATCCACGGGTTTCCAGTCCCAGGAGGGAAGTGCTGAGGATACAGGCACAGGGGTGCCATCATCCAGCAGGAACAGAGTGCATTTCTGAATCTCTGGGGCAGCTCCCGGTCAGGAGCGGCCCTGTCCCAGTCCTACTCTTCTGCTCAGAGACATGCTGTCCATGTGGCCTCCAAGTCTCACCTGTGTCCAGCAGAGTAGCCCCTGCCCCCTTCTCCACAGCTCCTGAAGCCACATCCTCAGCAGCTTCCTCCGGGCCCAGGATCTCCAGCATGTGCCAGTGCACCCAGTACGTGCGGCCCGTTGACTGCCAGAAGACCTGGTGTGAGGGAGGCAGGAAGAAGGAAGAACAGGCCTCTGTGCTCTGGGCGGTGCAGGCTTGGGAGGGTAAGGCCGGGCACATGGTCCTCAGAGGCACACCTGGCTAAGCTTGGGAAAGCCTCCACTCTCCAAAGGGTGGCCCTGCCTCTCATCTCCTCCTTACGCAGATGGCCTCTGCTCTGACACGCCCTCCCAGCCAACTCCATGGCTGGAGGTTAGAGGGTGTCTCCATATATCAGCTGTGTTTCCTGGCTGTGAGTCTCTGCTTGGCCTCACAGCCCACCACCCACTCCCACTAGATTTTCTCAGCCCTCCACATGTTCCCAGCCCCCTCTCAATTGCTGACTCCCTTTTTAAAAAAATTTTTTTTAAATGTTTATTTGTTTTTGACAGAGGCAGACAGCATGTAAGGAAGGGGCAGAGAGAGAGGGAGACAAAGAACCTGAGACAGGCTCCAGGCTCTGAGCTGGCGCTGTGCCGCCAGCTCAGAGCCTGACGCGGGGCTCGAACCCACGAACTGTGAGATCATGACCTGAGCCGAAGTCGGAAGCGTAACCAACTGAGCCACCCAGGTGCCCTGTGACTCCCTTAAATCATTCTAATCCCCTTGGGGGTTTTCTCCACAGGCGGCCTGCCAGAGAGCCCGCTCCCGGAAAGCCCTACCTATACCTGTCCAGCTAGATTCCCAACAGCGTCCCACACGCACGCTCGCTCACCTGCACGGGGGGCACGCCGTCGTTGCTCTGCCGGAACTCGCCCTCGTCCCCAGCGCTGACCTCCTCGTAGTCATCCAGCATGCGCACTCGCATCCCGGCCTGCAGCGTCTCTCGCACGTACTCACCATAGCCACAGCGGCTTGAGAATTCAGAGCGCTGACGGAAGGCCCGCTCTTGCTTTCTGAGGGTGGCAACCATGGTGGGGAGCAAAAGACTAGGGCCTGAAACGTAGGGCTGAAAGATGGACCGGGCTGGCCGCGGGGATGACGTGCTCTGTTCGCTGAGGTTGCGGGCCCAGCCCATGCTGCGCACCAGCTCTGAGATGAGGCTGCCCACAGCCATACTGAACTCCAGCTCCCGCTGCCCCCGGCTCTCCTCCTGGCCGAACTCCCCTGGGGACAGGGAGCCTCGGTCTCCAGCCCCTGGCTCTGGACTGTTATTCAGCTGATCCAGCAGGGAGGTGACACATAGGTAACGTTTCACCAGGGAGAAGAGCAGCTTTCCTGGGATCTGTAGGACACAGTCTGTGGTGTAGACGCATCTTTTCCCAGCTTCAGCCCCTCTCCTTTCCCCACAATATCATCCTCTAGAGAAAACTTTAAACGCCTTATCCCCTGTGATTTATATAACACACAAGGAGTGTCTTAAAACAGATTCCTGGCTTCTAATCTCAGAAATTCTGAGTGGGGGTGGGGGGGCAAGTTTGAACCTTCATTTTAACAAGCTCCCCAGGTGGCTCTGGGGCGGACGTATAATCCTGAACCACATTTTCAGAAGTGACGTCCTAGGCCTCGTACACGGCATTTCCCCCATAGCTGCCAGAGTACCTGAGGCAGATGAATGCCCTCAAAGGCCATGCAGTGTTCCTCAGAGGATGTGGTCTCTGCAAACAGCTCCAGCAAAGTATAGCGGCTGTCAAAATCCATGTGCTGCTCGATGCCATCTTGCTGGCTCAGTGACAGAAGGACGTGAGCCCGACTCCCTGTAATCCATACCCAGTCTGTATCTTCTCAATCCCCAATACTTGCCCTGCCTTTCCTAAACTACCTATCCCCTATCCCAGAGGATTTCAGACTTCTTTGTGACTCAGGCTCTCCCAGTAAGGTATACATTTTACATGGTAACCTGATACAAACATTCATATATACAACTGAAACATGTATTTGATACTACAAAATTTACCTTGCCAAGTGCTACCTACTAGTTTAATTTTACATTTAAAAAAATGTTGGTTGTAACCCACTGAACTGATTTCACAACCAACAAATAAATCTCAACCCACCACTTGAAAACATAAACCTACCCCATTCCCGTCTCTGCCACTGCCCTGAGAATGGACAGGCAAACCAGGTACTACTATTTTTTCCTACTTATATACCTGTAATAGTTTATTAATTTGTACTTTTTTTTTTTTTTTTGCATTGAATTGGTATTCAGAAAACATTAGGCGTTCTTACAGAGTTGGGAAATCCCTCCTCTTCCTGTTCTGACTCCTTCTGGCCCCAATTTCTCCAGTACTTTCCTTCTTCCCCAGGCTGTCTCTTACCAGCATCGTGGGCCGCCAGAGCCTGCAGCATCTTGCCCGCACTCCGACGGATCTGAGGCTCAGGGTTGCATAACATGTGCATAAGCAGGTCCAGGGCTCCCGTCTCCCTGAAGACCCCAGTGAGGGGCCCAATGCTGGCATAGGCGCTGAGCACATGGATGGTGTGGAGCACAGCGGCTGTGAGGCTCGAGGTCCCACCTTCTGCCAGCTGCCTGGCAGCCCTGCGCACCAGCGCCCGCACGTCAGCCTCCATCTCTCCCATTGCTGTGTCGTCCAGACCTCCTGGATCTCGGGAAAAGCTTCCTGAACCCCCAGCTGGCTCGTGCTGCGGTCCCTTAGATAACGCCCGCTCACCTAACAGCATGGGGCAGTTGGCGTAGACTTCGGGGGTGGACAGCCACATGAGGATGTGCTCTGTCTTGCCCTCTTCCACACTCACTCTGCCCACTTCCCCACACTTCAGAACACTCCATCGGATGAGGTATTCAGGATGCCCATCATGCCCAGGCCGCTGTCGAATAAGCTCTTCAGGATATGCCTGCAGCCGGGGCCCCAAGGGCACCATGACGTCCCCAGTGCGCCGTTCCCCCACCATCCTGACCTCCTGGGACACAGAAGGAGAAAGATAAAGGTAATGAGGGCAAGGGAAAAGGAGGGGGTGGAACCTTGAGACATAGATGGGGTACACGGTGGAAGTTACAGTCCAAATAGAAAAAGCCAAGGATAAGGATGGAATATATAACTTGAACACACTCTGGGATTTATAAGCAAGGAGGATACAGTGGAAACAACAAAGGGATGAAACGAAGGGGTTTAAGAGATGGAAGAGGTTACAAGAGAGGATAAGTAAAGGGTAACAAAGAATGACAGCAAAGCAGCACAGTCTGGGCAGAAGAGCAGTATGGCTGAGGGCTACAGATCAAGACTTGGACAGATAACATGGGTGAGCAAGCAGGACAGCAGCACGGGAGACAGTGGGGCCAGAACAAATGTAGACAGGGTGCAGGAGGGGCAGGAGAGGGAGTAACAATGAGAGCGTAAAGCTGGACTGTGGATATAAAGGAGTGGGCCATGGCAGATAGAGAAAACAGAGACAAAAGGGGGTTGGGCAGTGGGCACCCACATCCAGACGACTCGTTGGGAAAGTGTATCAGAGTACTGCGAGCAGGAGAGGGCCAGATTGAATTATAGGAAAAAAGACCAGGACCCACTCGGCACTTAAGCTGTACGTATGGTGAGGGCACATATACATGGAGGTGGTGATCATGGAGTTGAAGGGTAGGAAATGAGGTCAGGAGATGATGATGATGTTAAGAGAGGCAGTAGAGCACAGATGAGAGTCAGATTAAGAGTGACTCTGAATTCTAGCTCTTTCGGGGTGCCCGGGTGGCTTAGTCGGTTGAGCGTCTGACTTTCGCTTAGGTCACGATCTCGCGGTTCGTGGGTTCGAGCCCCGCGTCGGGCTCTGTGCTGACTGCCAGCTCAGAGCCTGGAGCCCGTTTCAGAGTCTGTGACTCCCTCTCTCTCTGACCCTCCCCTGGTCATGCTGTCTCTCTCTCCTAGAAATAAATAAAACATAAAAAAAAAAAAAAAGACTGAATTCTAGCTCTTTCACTTACTCTTTGAGTACTTTTGGACAAGTTCCTTCACCCTGAACCTCCGTTCCCTCCCCTGCAACATGGTAATGGTATTCATACCCACCTCATGAAGTTGTGGTAAAAACTAAATAAGATCATGTATGTAAAGCACCTAGAACAGTTGCTAGCACACAATGAGAGCGCAGTAAACACAATCTAATATTCTTAGCTGGAGAAGGGAGGGGCAGTCCTCAGATAAATTTAGTCATTAAGCCAGAAGATGATAAACGGGAGTAGGAAGAGGGCTAAGCTGGTGATCAGGAAAAGGTATGTGTGTGAAGCAGCAGAATGGGGGCAATGGGGAGTGGTGAGAGTAGGAATGGGGGGAAAGGGGATAGAAGATGATAGAAGAAAGGCATGAAGAGGAGGGGAAACATGGGATGCGGACCTCAATGGGGGCAGGGGCTCAGGGAGCATGGCGGGGATGGGGGTCGGGGGACAAGACTGGGAGGTAATCGGTGACGTGGCGATGGACAACTGATGTGCTCATCGGTGAAGTAAAACAACTGACGGGTAAAATGGGGAGTAGAGGCGGAACTCTTACGGGCCTAGAACAGGGGCAGTAAACTGAGGTGTAGAGGTGAGGTCTGGACCTGGGGATGAGACAGCAGGCAGACGCATGTGGCAAGGTCAGGCCCAAGCTTGCAGACCATGGGGTTGCAGAGCAGGCTACTAGGGCAGCAGAACGGCCTTGGGGGGCGGGGTGAGGATGGATGGGGAGCGGGGTCCGAGGAGGCTGACAGGACCCAGGACCGAGAGAATCTCAGACAGCAAGACCTGGCTCCCGTCGTCAACCCCACGGAGACAGCGTCTGGGAGCGGGAAGGGGACGCGGCAGGAACTGGGTCGCCGCAGGACCCTCCTCTCACCTCCCACCGCCCGGCTCGGCCCTCGCTGGGAGCCAGCGGCCGGTCCCGTCGTCCTGGCCCCGCCTCTTCAGCAGCTCCCTTCCGGGTCACACGGCGGAGGCGGGCGCGGCCCGGCTTCTACGGGTCCCTCCGCGGCCCACAGTCGAGCGTGGCGGAAGGGCGCGTGAGCGGAGCATGCGTAGTGGCCGCGCCGCTGCGCGGGGGGAGCGCTGCAGTCAGAGCCCGCGCTCGCTATCACGTTGCTCATCTCCGCAGGATTACGCAGCTCCTTCTCCCTATCACCTCGGAAGCACCCCTGGCTTAGAGTGGGTCGGCCTTCTCCATCCACCGGGAACCTACACTCTCAGCCCTGGAGCTGTCCTTTGCGCTCTCACGAGGTCACGTGGCCATGAGTTTCCCAAACCCAAACCGCTTAAGCAGGGCTTTGGATTGGTTGAGTCACTTTACCTATTAATTAAAATTGCCCATCTGTGTGTTGGCCTAAACACCTAACAAAACCACGTACAAAGATAAAGGCTCCAGCTCCCTGAAATGTTCCTTATATTAAGCCACAGACTTAAACAGCCCAAAGCACCCATTAGCTTTGTCCTTGTGCTCATCAAGGAGCTGGGCTTGCAACTCAGAGCCACGTTTATTTAGGGTTTATTCGTGTTCGTACTTCCCTCCCTCCCTATACGGAGAAACGGAGGCAAAGACCCCACTGTCTGTGCACAAAAATGATACATTTATTGAAAGAGTATCTTTTTTTTAATACAAAAGAAAGCTCTGTACATAGGACTGTGACCATGTCCACTATTCCTGGGTCAGCATCCCAGGGGAAGTAGAAATCACTTACATACACACTCTACATTCACACACACACACACACAGGCACACACGCTTGCAGACGCGCACACACATGCACACACACATACACACACACACACTCCAGAGCCACCAAGGAAGGGAAACACCAAGGGTTGCTGCACATATAAATGCCACCTCATCCCTGACTCACACATGTTCTCCCAAGGCCACGCTCACACAACACACATTATAAGCACTTTGCCTGATTCACTCACTGGGTCTGTCTTTTGTGGGAAGAAGAGGAGGAATTCATCAGTCTCCTTCCCTGGGTAGGGGAGTGGGGAGTGAGTGAGTGATCGTGGAGTGAAACAAGAGCAGAGAAAGGGGGCTGGGCAGTTACAGACCTGAGTCCCAAACTCCCCCACTCTCTGGCCCCTGATTTGCCATGCCCCAGCCTTGTAAGCCACCCATAAGCCCCAGCTATCTCCAGGAGAAAGCCCAGAATGGTGACTTCCGTCTTGGTACCCCAAACCGGGGCAAGACAGCAGTGGGGGTTAGAGGTTACGGGGGTTCTCAAACACGTCGGCAAATCATCCCCTTGATAACTAGGCTGTGCACAAACACTTCCCCCACCCCTTCACCTAATCACAGAAGCAGGATTGTTCTTCCTGAAGGCAGTCACAGGGGTTAATAAAACTCCACCCCAACTGCTGCCCTGTTCTGAAAAAGCTCCCTTTCTGGATATAGGGGGCGAAGGTAGGCTCTGACACAGGGTAAAAGACCCTCCCCTTATGCTGGCCCATCCTCAAGGTCTACCCCGTAGGGGGCAGAGTGGGGTAGGGCACGGCCCCTGTACAAATTACATAAATACTGAGGTTACACTTAGAAAAATAAAGTCATTTTCTTCAAGGCTTTTTGTCTTAATTTAAAAAAGTTACAGTAGCTGCTCACTCCCTGGGAGAGCTGCCCATTTCTGGCTCCCCTATCTCTATACTCAGCCCAAGAGCTGCTCCCGTTTCTTCTGATCCCCATTCCTGCTTCTCACCCCCTCCCAGACCCCACCCTGCTCACTGCAACTTGGGCCCCAGGCAGCTGCAGGCCTGGGGGAGCACAAGGCTGCAATGCCCATGTGTGTGGCACAAATGAAGTCAGTTGCCTCTATCTGACACCCTCCCACCCCCGCCCCCACATTTGGTCTCCCTCTTCCCTCTCCCTTGCAACAGCCCTAAAGGGCAAAAAGAGACCCAGGGCTGTGGGTCACCCTCCCCACCCCGTTGGGGCATGGCCTGAGGGCCCCTCCCCCGGTTTTCTCCTGGAAACAACCCAGGACCGGGCAATCCCAGAATCTCCCCTACACACTGGCGGGCCTCGAGCTCATGGGGTGGCTCTGTCCCCAGAGGCCCAGCCAGTTCCGGGGAGCCCCAGGGCTCTCCAGGGAAGGGGAGCTTGGGGAGGGAGGGGGACGAGAAAAACGCCATAAAAAAAAGTTTAAATATTTTAAAAATATATATTTATAGATTTGTTTTCACTTCGTCTCCTCAAATAAAAAGTTCAAAATCAACTTTAAGTAAAGCAGCTGGGGGGGGGGGAGGGGGGAAGACAGGGTGAGAGGGAACACTGGTGGTTCCCTCCAACCCAGGAGTCCCTGGAGTCCCAAGGGGATTGGCAAGGCAGGGCAGGGCAGGTGGCCCCAGGAACCTGCTCTGTGCACAGGCCCAGTTCTCGGGAGCTGCAGAGACAACGGGGCGGCGGCGTGAGGGAGGAAGCCCCCATCTCCCCAGGTGGCTCCCTGAGGGGCAGGGGTAGGGCTCTTTTTGCCCAGCCTGTGACAGACACAGGGCTGACATGGGGTCAGCAAGGCCGGGAGAGGACCCCAACCGCTTCCTCAGGGGGAACTCGGTGCCTAGTCCCACAGAGGCCTGTGTGTGGGAAGGTGGGGCACGGTCCCATTGGATAAGCTAATACTCATGGCAAACATGGAGCCAAGCTGGCAAGGGGAGTCTGAGGAGGGAGGACAGCCCCACCATCAACAGAAAACGGGAGGTGGAGCTAGGAGGGGAGGGTGAGGGAGGACGGGGTGGAGGGCAGGCTGGCCCATTTCTTTGGCTGGAGTGAGAGGGCTCAGTCCCGCGGCTGCCCACTCCTCCTCCCTGCCTCCCCTCTGCGGCCCGTCAACGTGTGTGTAAAGAAAACGTGAAAAGGCAACAATAAATAAGTGGTGCCATCCCTTGGGCCATCTGTCCAGGGTGGCAGGGCGGATCAGTCACTCTTGGTGTTGTGGGCGGCGTCCAGGTTCACCACCTGTAACTCGGTGAGGTTGCTGCTGCTCCCAGCCTGCTGCCCTATGACAGCCATCTGGAGGGAAAAGGATATGTGAGGAAGAGGGGACAGGGACTGACCAGCCAGGTGAAGGTCCCACTGCTTGCCTGCCTGCCCGCCACAGGCCTGACCAGGAGAACAGGTCTCCTGACCTTGGCTTTGACCAATAGGTAAACTGCATCCCCAAAGTCAAGATCAAGACATGGCTGGCCGGCTGGCATGGGGTGAAAGGTGCCCCTCCCCACCTACCTGGTGAAGCTGAACTGCAGAAACGGGGATCTGCACTGTCCCAGACGGCGCTGTCAGGAACACCTGGGGGACACCGCCTGTGATGGGAAACCACAAAAGAGATTCAAGTTGCCGGCTCGAGTGAAACTTCCAGATATCGGAGAAGTGATGATAAAGGCACCAGTGACCCTGTACGTCTGAGGTAAGTGGCCAAAGGTGAGGGTCCACATGTCCATGTCCATGTGTGTGTGTCTGTGTGAGTTTTCAAGTGTGGATAGGTAGCCTAGTGAACAGCCATCGGTGTCAAAATATGTATGCCAGCACCCGTGTGTGTGTGTGTGTGTGTGTGTGTGTGTGTGTGTGTAGGTATATGTGTGGGCATCCTAGTTTGTATTTGTGAATGTGTGCATCTAGATGTATATGTGGGGGGCCATTTGAGTATGGGGGTATGTAAGGGAGGAAATGGTCCTCCTTTCCTCAGCCCACCCCACAACTCACCTTGCTCCTGGACCTGGCTGTGGGACACCTGCATGGTAGATGGCGCCTGGGAGAAGGCATTGAGCACGGTGAGGCTGCCATCAGCCAAGCCCGAGGTGGGTGCATACATCACCGCGTGGGGACTAGGGTACATCATGTGGCCGCCCACAGTTGTGGGCACAGATGACGTCATGATGGTGGCGGGCAATGTCACTGGCAAACACAGACACACATCAGCGAGGTTGGCACTGGCCCCCATCCCACTCCCAAGAACTCAGGGACTCCAGAGCCCTCGTGCCATTTCCCAGGTCAGAAGCTAGACAAGACTCATTCCTCGGCTCTCTTTCTTCAACGAAGAAAAGCCATATTTTTTTCTTGAACACAAGAGCACCAACCTTTAATTGTATCCTATGACACTGTACCATTCATTATCTATCTGCTGAATTCTTTGTTCCAAGACCCTAAGGCCCTGGGAAAAACAAAGATTACAATGACTGACCCACTCTAAGGAAACTCACATACTCCCTTTTCAGGGGGCTCCATTATCCCATTTTTTAATTTGTTCTCACTTCTCCCTCTTCATGAACGTGTGGCTAACAAACTTTTAAACGTCAAACATTAACGTGCATAAGGTCGCCTGGGATCTTGTTAAAAAGCAGCTTCTCATTCAGTAGGTTTGGGGTGAAGCTTAAGAGTATGCATTTCTATCAAGTTCCCAGACGATGCTAGTCCTCTGTCCACAGACCACACCTTGTGTAACAAAATTGTCGATAACAAGAATGTAAAGGTAATTTTATTTTGAAAGTGTCTCATTTGTAAAATGACTAGAGACACCAAGGGGAATTATAGCTACTCAAAACCTAGGACACCCTCCCACAAGGAAACAACTATTTTATAAATCTTTCCTGGTAATTAAGCAAACATGTGTCTTTGGGCAACCAACTTCTCCTTTCTGAGCCTCCAACTTCTCATCTGAATGAAGAGAAGCGTGGCTTCGATGGTCCCTAATTTCTTCCTGGAATCCATAGCCCTACCACAGGGTGGGATTCCAAACCCAGCCATCCTCCCCGGACTTTCCCATAAGAATTAGGATAAGGGTTAAGCCAAATGCCTCCATCTCCACATGAAGACATTCTCTGACCTTAGTTACAGGAGGGGTATTGCTGGGCACTTGCCGCCAGGCCTCATGAAGGAGGCAGGGCAGGGAGGTGAGGGTTTTGAGCTATACCTGTCCCGCTGGAGGAGGTCTGCGTGAGGTCTGTGCTGCTGTCGCGAGAGGGAGACGCTTGCTGTGGGGCCTGGTGCACCTGAATGGCCTGCACTGGGACCTGCTGGGCCACTGCCCCACCTATGAGACACAGAGACTTATTCATGCTCTGTCCTACCCTTCCACCACCTGCACCAAGCACCCACAAACAACCCTAGGCCAGGGTCTGGCACACTGCTCCCCAGCTCCCATAGCTATCTTTCCAGAGAGCTAAAGAGGCCCTTCGTGTCCTGAATCTTGTCTCCAGGGGTTTCCGCCCTCTGCCCGTGCCCTTCCCTCCTCCTCCCACTCCAGGCCTTGCCTCTGCCTCCTTGGCTGACATAGGAGCTAGCACTGAACCATCAAGGACATGACCTATCTTCTACTCAAGGTAGGAAAGTGGTGGAATGCCTAGGGTCCCTATGGCAATGGGCTAGCTAGACAAGGCCAGAGAGTATGGCTGAAACTTACTGACAAGGATAACAGGGGTCCCAGTGGGGAAGGGCATGCCTACCAGTGGGACAGAAGAGGCTTCTCTCAGACTCTGGCCCCTGTCCACCCTCCTTCTGAGCAGGGAAAGAGGTTCTCCTGTGCCAGCCCTAAGCCTACTCTCAGCATGCTCAATTTGCCCCCTGTGACTTGACTCACCGGGCATGAGGGTGAAGCTGGTAGGCAGCTGCATGAGGCCCCCGGAGGAGACGGGGCCACTGCCTGTACTCTTCAGCACAGTCCCGTTGGCACTGCTGACAGCGCTGGGGCTGACGCTAGCAGACACCGGTGCCAGATAGTTCGTGATGGGGAAGGAGGGGCCGCTGCTGACTTGCATGGTGGTAGAGGTGCTGGGTGCTGTTTGGATGGTGGAGGTGGTACCCGGCAGGTTGGTGACTGTGAACGCGGGTTTCGGTGTGTCCTACACCCAGAGTAAAGATGCAGCAGTGAGCCTCCACCAGACCCTGCCCCTGCAGAAGCTTTGTGTGGTGTGACAACCCAGACTGGAACCGGTGAGCCTGGGTTCAAACCCCAGCTCTGCCATTTACCTGCTGTCTGACTCTCGGGCAAGTTACTGAGCTGCTGAGCTTCAGTTTCCTGTCTGTAAAAGGAGAAGACTTGCCCCATAGGTGTTGTGAAGATTAATAGGTTAACACACATAAAGTGCCTGACACCTGAAAAGAGCAGAAAGTATTTGCTGCTCTGATGATGATGATGATGATGATGATGATATCATCATAATTCCCTGAATTCTCTGCCCCGATAAACTGTGGTAAATCACATCGGCTGGGGAACCAGGACACAGGGGTCTATTCCCAGCTCTGGCAGTGATCATCTATGTGACCCTGGGGAAATCACTTCCTCTTTCTGAGCCTCAGTTCTCTTCTGTAAACATGAGAGGCCTGGGCTACTGTGTCCTGTAAAAACATCTTTCCAGCTCTGATTTGCCAGGCTTCTGAGATAGGGACAAGAGTTTTTCAGGGAACTTAGGGCTTCAGAGAGATCTTGAACTACCAATGGAATTTTTTAAACACATAATTTATTATTATTTTTATTTATTTGTTTTGAGAGACAGAGAGCGTGCGTGCACATGGGGGAAGGGCAGAGAGACAGAGAGAGAGAGAGGGAGAGAGAGAATCCCAAGCAGGTTCAGTGTTGTCAGCCCAAAGCCTGAGGCGGGGCTCTATCTCACTAACCATGAGATCGTGACCTGAGCCGAAATTAAGAGTTGGATGCTCAACCGACGGAGCCCCTATTAAATAGGCGCCCCTATTAAACTACCAAAGGAATTTATTCCTCCAACAAAATTCCCTGGGAATAAATGAGCCGTACTGCTTCAAGAGTTTGCCATTACAGATGATATGCCAGTAAGAGGGGGTATCCCGGAGCACCGACCCTCCCCTCGGAAAGCCTTTTGTTCTTAGAAGGGGAAAGAGGAAGCCAGGAACTGAGAACCCAGCCCGGAGAACTGAGGGGGTTCAAATACTGGGGGTGGGTCAATGCGGGATGTTTGCTAGGCAGCCGAGCTTGAAGCCCCTGGTTGGCGGAGGCGTTGCTAAGGCAAACAGTGCCGCTTCCTCCGATTGGCCAGTTAGTGAAGGGCCGCCCGGAAGGTGGAGCTCCCCAGAGGAGCAATGGAGGAAGCCCCGCCCCCCCTTTCCTTACCGGGAAAAGGAAGGGGGAGGCGTAACTAGGGCCGGCATCCCTAGCAGCAGAGAATACACTCCCTAAACGTGCCCAGGCCCGGACATCCTGAAGAGGTAGGCGGTTGGCTAGTAAGGTAATCTCCAGCCCAGTCGAGGAGCCCGCCTGCCGACAGTGCTGGGTTCCCAGGACCCCGGAGCCCAAGAGTGCTTCCTTCCTACTCCTTGGCAACTCAGCCTGCCGCGAGGGCAGGGCTAAGCTACGCCCCCGCCCCCAGCAGGGAGACAGCTGGCGGGAGGAATGCAAGGGCCCTGCCAGGCGGGCGGGCTGCAGGCGGGAGGCCGGCCTGGAGCCGGAGCCGGCCTTATAAGGGCACGGAGGCCGCCCGCTTATCTAGGGGGCCGGCCTCCTGTCGGGATGGCGAGGATGGACACCTGTCCCCTAGGATGAGGGGCGCTAACCCAGCTCCATTCCACGTCAGTGGGCACCTATCCTGAGTGAGGGAGAGAGAGGGACCCCCTCCCCTCTCTGCCGGTGAAGTCCCTCCCCTGACTTCCCCTCAGATAGGCGACCCAAACACACCTTGGTCTCCCCACTGCTGTCGGACTCCGACACCTGGTAGGTGAGGTCTGTCTCTTCAAAGCCCGTGGCACTCATTCTCTGGTCTGTGGTGGGGTCTGAACGGGGTGGAGAGTCTGGCGAGTTGAGGCAGGTCTGAATCAGTGCCTTGCCAGTCTCACTGGTGATCATTGGCTGCAGTTTGCGGGTGGCAAAGGTATACACATGGCCTGTTTCACTGGCCACCAGCAACAGCACCTGTGTCCCTGTCAGCGTGGACAGCTCATAGGCCTGGGGGTAGGAGGGGGAGGAGATGGGTAGGTCAGCCAAACTTTTTCTCTCTACCTTCCTTGGGAAGTAGGGAAGAAAGGAAATACACAGTGATCTCAACCCCCTGCCCCCTTCCCCAACCCCAGTGACCTTCTTCTCCAGTGACTAGGGCGGGGGAGAGTCCTATCAAGATATCTGAAAGTGAGCTGGAGAGCAGAAAAACTACCCATGCAGCCACTGACCTGTAGATACCTCGAGCACAGTCACAGCCCCCTAGTGACAGAATATATAACCTCAAGGGACAAGGGGGGTGGGGGGGTAGGGTAGCTGCTCCTGACTACAGCTTGGTGCCAGGAGCCTCATGGAGAGAGGGCCCTCACCCACTCTTCACTGTAACAGGAACCGGACTGAAGTTGCTATCACACTGTAAGTTGCATAAGACATTAGGGATAAGGGGCCACGTAAGTTCTAAACTGTCCCATGTTTCTTCCCAGAAGCCACACGGGCCCTAGCCTGTTGCCATTTGTCCTTCTGCCCTATAATACTGTGCTACCCCCTTTCTTCTTTCTTTGTCTTGATGCAACAGTGTCTGGAGTGATGGGAGATGGGGGCTAGATTAGCGGCTACCACCCTGCCATGAGTCCAGGAAGGAAACCTTCAAGGGTGGCCCCACAGATGGCATCCTTACTCCCCCAAAAGTTCCACAACCCACCTTGGAAGCAGCTCTGGCTTCTATATGGGACAGAAATAACCCTAGCCAAAGTCCCTAGGGTTCTAGCTTATTTCCCGGTTCACCTGCTTCCATCCCTTTCCGTATCTTCTACACCTCAGGACGGCCCTTTCTCCTCATCCCTATTGCCTGGATTGCTGGCTGGAAGAGGAAGAATTTCTAGGTACCTCTGCAAACCTCCCTGCCTTCCCCCAAACTCCATGCACAGATTCTCCCTAGGACTGGAAATACCACTTGTCCCAAAGGCAGATGGTTCCGAAGGCTGTCCTGCAGGGAGTGTGCCGGTTTCCAGTGGATGCAAAAGACGACACATGGCCCTCGTCCGACTCAGTCCCTGCTGCTCAAGGCAGCATCGGCTCACCTGCCCTGCTCCCTTACCTGGGGCTCTTAAGTCCCATTCGGTCATCAGAGCTGTCAGTCCTTCCAGCCAGCGCGCTACTCTTGCGGTGCCCACCTTCCTCCCACACATGCTGGCTCATTGTTGTTAGAGCTTCAGCCTCTTCACCTCCATACCTTCCCTTCGGGTGCCCGCTTTTCCAGCACCCTCCCCCGGACACCAGAAGGCACTGGATCTAGTGACCCCCGCGTCTCATTAACCACCTTCCGAACAGCCTCCAAGCTTCCCACAACCACTCTTCACCCCTTCACTCCGCAAGGGCCGCGTTCCTCTCTCGCGCCCGTCACTCCCACCTCGGCGCCTTTCCCCTCTTCTCTGGACGTTCGCTGCATCTCCCCTCTCCCCACATTTCCTTGGCGGCCCCTCCCCTCTCTCCCTCCCGGGGAAACAGCCATCCCCTCCCACACAGCTCCTGCAGACTCGCCGCCTCTCACCTCCGCCTCGGCTCTGCCTTCCTCCCGGGCTCCCACTGCGCGTCCCCACCCTCCCGGTCCCCCGTGGCCGGCCAGCCTCCCGGCCCGGTACCTTCTTCATGATGCCCGTCTTCCTCTTGCTGAAGGTCGTGTAGCGCCGCAGTTTGTTGTCGATGAACTCCATCTTGATCTTCACGCGGCCCCGAGTCTTCTTACCCGGCTTGGCCCCGCTCACCGCGCCGCTCACCGGCCCATAGCCCCCGGTGGCCGCCGCCGCCGCCTCGGGCCCACCGACCACCACGCCGAGCTCCATCTCGCTCAGGCTCCGCTTCAGGCCGCGCCGCTCCGCGCCCAGCTCCTCCTCCTCACCCGACTCCGAGTCGCCCTCGCTGCCGCTGTAGAGGGCCCCCGCGGTGGGCGCCGGAGTGGTTGTCGCTGCTGCTGCAGCCTCCCTCTCGAGGCGGCCCGGCCCGAGCCCCGCGCCGTTCCCGGGAACCCGGCCCCCGTTAGCCCCGCGAGTCCCGCCGCCGCCGCCGCCGCCGCCGCCGCCACCTCCCGGCCGCCCCGTCGGGGTCCGGTTCAGGCTGCCCCCCAGGGCCGAGCCCCGGCCCAGCGCCGCCGCGGCCCCAGCTTGGCTCGGTAACATGGCGCTCAATGCAGGAGGGCGGACGGTCAGTCAGCGAGGAATCGGAGCCGCCGCCGCCGCCGCCATCGGCTTCCCGGCTCAACCCGGCACTCCCGCTGCTGCTAGAGCCTCTATCGCTGCCGCTGCCGCCGCGAACCCGGGGCCCCTGCACGCCCGGGCCGACCTGGGCCCTCACTTTCCTGCCCCTGTGGCCCGGGTTGCCCCAGGCCGCTCGGAGCGCCCCCTGTCCGTATGCTAGGGCGGCGCGCCCGGCGGCCGTCAGCGTCCTCCGGGGTGCAGGGGCTGCTGGCCGCGGCCGAGACGGCGGGTGGAGGGGGCCGGGACCACGCGCTGGCGGCGGAGGGATCCCCCGACCCTTCCCCCCATATAAAGAGATACAATGTTTCCTTTTATGGCGAGGCCGCTCCTTATATGGTGAGCCCCTGCGCCCCCGCCGCATTGGTCCGCGGTTCCGGCACCTCCGCTCCCCATTGGCCTACAGAGAGCGCTTATTTGCATAGACATACCGAACTCGCCGCTGTCATCCCGCGTCAGACGGCGACTCCGAAAGGGGAGGAGCCGACGCCTCTTAAAGGAACAGGAGAGGGGGTACGACTCCGCCCCCCTGACCAGAGAACGGTAGAGGGAGAATTGCAATGAGCCTGTGGAGAGGAAGCCTGGGAGTGGACCCGAGCTCATTCCCGCGGAGAAATGGGAGCAGCGCTGGGAACCTGGCATCGGAACGGCTGGAAGCAAACACTGGGGTAGTCCCTGCGTGTTGCAGTAAATGATATAATGCAGCCCAAATTCCAAGGGAGTTCAGAGATTGGAGCACTTCCCCACGCCTTCCTTAGGGAGGCTCAGCCGAGGAGGCTTGGGTCCCTGGCGTCCAGACTCGTCGCTTCTCCGCCTCCCGACTCCAACTCTTCCCCTCCCCCCGACTTCCTTTCCCTTTCCCTCTCTTTTCCAGGCGACGACACTTTCCCACCAGGCCGGCTCCCCGGTCCTCATTCATCATCCTCTATAGTGGAGGGATCTTTGGCAGACATACATCTGGAAAAGACCGGGGGAGACAGTCGGCCTCCCTGTCCCCGAAGGGGGCAGGGAGACGAGATGGAGATCAGTGAAGGCTTCCAGCTGCGGACTGGGCTGGGGGAGGGGGCTGTCCCGGGGATAAAGCCCACCCTGGGACAAAGGGTGCAAAGGCCTGGGAAAAAGTAGAGCCAGACAGAAAGTTTCAGCAAATAAGCCAGCCCGCCCGCGCGCGCGCGCGCGCGCGCGCGCACACACACACACACACACACACACACACGTACACACCCTTACCCTTCTATGGCAAGCCCGTGAAGAGGTAGGAAGTTAGAACTGTAGAGCTGCAAAGCCCAGGTTCAGAGTTTGGGTCTGGGTCTCAGCTCCAAGGCCGTGGAAATATCTTGGGCTTTGCTGTTACAGAAATTATTCAAATCTGGAATCAGCCTCTTTCTAGCCTGTGCCTGGAAATAAGGGTTGGACCTCTCCAAACTCCATCATATTCCTCATTGTTGGTACCCATCCGCTGAGGTTCTTAATGTAAATTAAATGAGATAAAGGCTAAAGCATAGAGTAAGTGGTCAGTTAATAGGAGCTACTGGGGTAATCGATTCATCCTTGGAATAAACATCGGGTTGTCTTTAAGGGGATGGGAGAGTGATGTTTCCTTTCCTTAAAAATTTTTGTGAAGATTAAATAAAGTGGTTGGTTCTGACCTATCGGTGGTAGTGGTAATGAAATGAATTTAGTGTGCTGCAATGAACATTTAAAGTAATCAATCAGTGAGTACCACAAAAAGCAACGGCAAATATTTCTGCATGAAAATTTTGTTTGCATTATTGTTAGGTTGAATCATGTAAAGTTGCCATTTTATAGGTCAAGAGGGTAGCATATTGTCGATTTCATATGGCTCAATGTGTGTGTATCTGATGACGATGTCAATTGCATTTCTTACTGCAACAGTTCAAAGACAGAATATTGAAACAAAGTATGTTCAAGTGACTTGTGAGACCGTGTGTGTGTGTGTGTGTGTGTACACTCATCAAATCCCTAACTACAGGAAGGAATTAAGAGCTCTACTCTTCCCCATTTCCCAATAGTTTCAAAGAGGTTTTTCCCCCCTAATTTATTCTACATAACAGGTAGTTTAACATATGGATTGTGTTAGCTCAAGAGGAAGAACAGGTCAAATACATAAATAGGTTCCAGAAGAGTTTTAGGGGCCATTAATGGTGCGTGGGACTGTGATTTATCTGAGCAGTACAGTCATAGAACCATTCTTGCCTGATTTCTAAGAACTTTTCTGTTTGAGACTCCTCGTTTAGACACATGCAGGGTTGATAACCGTTAGCAGTGGCACTCCAGAGGACAACTACCGCCTGCCACATCCACTGGGTATGGTGTGTGGAATGAACACAGTCCCTAGCTTCCCTTCAAATAGATTGATCTCTCCCATTTCACCCAATCCCTGTGCCATTGTACACCAGCATTAGTGCCCCTGGCTCCTTCGCCTGCTTATGATGGCTTCATTTTACATAAAAATCTGGATTCTCTCAATTTGAGTTTTTAGCAACTCCTGATCTATGCACCCACAAGAGCACTATAGTCGGAAGCTGAATCTAGTGGTGGCCACAGCAGAGGCTTCTGCTGTCAGGTTCATTATAGATGCCACACAGCTCACTGAGCTCAGATAAGTGCCCCGCCTGGCCTCTCCGGAATGCGAATTTGGTGCTTCTCTGATAAGGCCTATGTCACACTAACCCCCTGCAAATGGGTGCTCATGTCTACCCCTGACCATGAAGGACCTCTAGAGGGGCATCAGAATTCCAACCAGATGCCCCACATACCATGCCATTGCCACGCTGGTCTTTCTTTCTTCTGATTTTTATCACCCAAATATCAGAACAAAAATTAAGGATTGCTTTTAAAAACTATTATTTTTAAATAGGGGTGCCTAGGTGGCTCGGCTGGTTAAACATCTTTTTTTTTCCCTAGGAGAGAGAGAGACAGCGTGAGCAGGGAAGGGTCAGAGAGAGGGAGACACAGACTCTGAAATAGGCTCCAGGCTCTGAGCTGGCAGTCAGCACAGAGCCCGATGCGGGGCTCGAACCCACAAACCGCGAGATCATGACCTAAGCAAAAGTTGGATGCTTAACCGACTAAGCCACCCAGGCGCCCCTTAAACGTCTGACTCTTAAACAATTTTTTTAAATGTTTACTTTTGAGAGAGAAAGAGAGAGTGAGTGGTGGAAGGGCAGAGAAGGAGACACAGAATCTGAAGCAGGCTCCAGGCTCTGAGCTGTCAGCACAGAGCCCAATGCGGGGTTCAAACCCACAGACCGTGAGATCATGACCTGAGCCAAAGTTGAACGCTCAACCCACTGACCCACCCAGGCACCTCATGTGTCTCTTGATTTCGGCTCAGCTCATGATCTCACGAAATCACAAGATTGAGCCCCACATCACTGCTGTCAGCACAGAGCCTGTTTGGGATTCTTTCCCTCTGCTCCTCCACTGCTCATGCTCTTTCTCTCTAAATAAATAAACATTTAAAAAATTAATATTCCCCTCCCCAAAAAAGTTACTACCACTCTAAAGGTGTTTGCATTTGGAATTAACCTTTGTGTAAGGGCTCTTCATGCAGAACAAAAGAGATCTCAGTTGTGACTGCACCATTAGAGAGAATAAAATGGAAAAGAGGCTGTGACTCAGTGTATCCAGGAAAAGTCTGGAAAGCCACACTCCAGTGGTGCTGACCACTGGAGAGCAGGGTTGGAGAGAGAGAAGTGTGTTTTTTGCTTTCTACATGTCTATACCATTTGCCTCCTAGACTTGGAGTTAATGCTCTGTGAACTGTCTGCACCAAGGGGCTGATTAAAGCCACGTGAAGTGAGACAAGATTCCTGAGCATAAGCACATGAAGACAGCAAAGCCAAGGGCGGAATCCAAACAGCTAGCTCCAGGGCAGGCAGGAGAAGGAAGCCTCAGCCAGAGCTGGAGAAGGCTGGTCAGAGAAGGTGGAGATGGAGTACCATCACCAAAGTTGAAGAGTCAGACGTGGCCAGCAGTGTAGCCACAGCCAAGTGGTCAAGGAAGACGAGGAGTGAATGGAGAGTTTGTGACTGACCTTCTAGAGTAGTACCTTCTTAGTTCTTCTGAGCTCAGCCCACAATAAGAAATCATTTTTAAATCATAACCTGTGATGAGTTAGAGCGCTGTTCCCAATTCTTCACACCCTGTGATGGACTTAGACATCCGACATCGTTTGCCATGTGACTTTGCGGTACCCCCTACCGGGATTGATGTTGGGGTTTGCCAGGTGACTTGGTTTGACCGATAAAATATTGACAGACTCGTGGTTATAGGTGCATGCGTGATCTGGCTTGACCCTTATGCTCCAGCCACTGCAGGGCAGCTGCTCTAGGGCCAGCAGAGGAGACCCAGACCAGACCTTCAGCCCAGAGCCAAGCCCAGCTCAAGTTGGCTAAGTCCAGCCAAGATCAGCCAAACCTCACCAACCTGCAGCTCCGTGAGTGAGAAAAATAAGCTGTTGTAAGCAACTGAGATTTGGGGCTTATTATATAGCATCACCACCCCAAAGGTTGACATAATCCAATATATACATGACATAATCCACTATATAGAAACATGTATCAAATATTACAAAGTTTTGTAAAAGAATACTCTTAAGGTATATATGATATACTCTGATCCTTTATATGGTTTCGTTTTTTTAAAATGCTGGCTGCAAACCACACTTAAAAAACACTCTTCTAAAAAAGCTGTTCTTGGGCTTTTTCACTCGCAACGCACCTGAGGGGTAGAACACACTGTATAGCAGCAAGTAAGTGGCCCACCTACTAGTTGTGCAACCTTTGGGAAACTACCGGAGCTTCAGTTTCCTAATCTCAAAAATGTGAACAATAATAGAGTACAACAACTATAGCCGCAGAGATTAGAGACGATGCATGTTAAGTGTTTAGCAAAGTCCTTGGTATAAGGCAGGTATTCAATAAATGTTAGCTGTTATTTTTGTTACTGAGAAGTTTGGTGAGAAACAGAAGGAATCAGAGCTATTTCGTAGTTAAGAATGAGTTATGGGGGCGCCTGGATGGCTCAGTCGGTTAAGCATCTCACTTTGGTTTCGGCTCAGGTCATCATCTCAGAGTTTGTGAGTTCGAGCCCCACATTCTCTCTCTCTCTCTGCCCCTCCCGCTTGTTCTCTCGCATGCTCAAAATAAATAAACTTAAAAAACAAATCATTAAAAAAATGAATTACGGACTCATTTTTTGGGATGGAGAACCAGGCTGAAGCTATTGGAATAATAATAATAATAATAATAATAAAATAACTGATG